ATATATAGTCTCTGTTCAATAAGTTACCAAATTTTTTAGGCACACTTCAAAGTCCAATGTCGTTCACTGCTTCACTTCATTAATCTCCCCAATTTTTGAAGCACCCTGTGTACATGGGATAATAAGTGTAACAACCACAAAGACCAAAAAGCTTTTCAGTTATATGAATCACAATAATAATATTTCGTTTACCGTTTGTTGGATCAAACCATGCATAGTAGAACGAATTTTCTATGTAGTTACACTAGAAATAAACTAGTCGACCAACCAATGGATTGATCTATTTTGAAAATTGACAATAACAATTCGATAACTGGAAGGCATGCTTTATGTTATGCAATATTATTATTAACACATACGAAAAATGGCGAATTTTGAGTGAATTTTGCAGAATACCCTGTACGTCCATAATAGGTATATCAGATTTCAATGAATTGAATTGTATATATTGAGTAATAACTACACATTGTTATGTAAATGAAATTTTAGTTACATGGTGGTGAGTTTAGATATATTTTGACAATAACACATCTTTTGTGGAGTTGAAGCGAATTCGTATCAAATTACTTTGAATGGAAATTATGTTTGGCGGTAGTTCGATTCAAACCACAAAACTATTATTGGATAATGATATTGAAAATTGAAATACCGAATATCAATATATTAGATCGTTTAATATTTGATCTAGTAAAGAAAAAGGATCACTTTTGAGCAATATCACATCGAAAAAAAAAACTGTAAACGCATCATATTTTTATTGCAGTTAGTTACTGTTGTTCCTTTTCGTAGGCTACAAATATTTCGTGAGTCATAAAGAAATATTTGAATAGACAGCAAAGTTATTAAAACATGTTAAAACTAATGAAGTTTGGTATGCAACCCATATTTCATACATAATCTCTGTCAAACCACATCAGAAAGAGAGAAAATTAGTATGGTCGACAGCATGAGTTCCTTGTCGAGAAATGTTTTTGTACCTGAATTGTTTCCCAGCAAAGAAGAATATTCGACATGAGTGTTTTCACAATCACAAGAATCCAGTAGGTATTCGGCATAACTAAATAAAGTATCCATCCGTCTGTAATCAAACAAAGTCTAAGTGACTAATCTCGAACAGCTACCCACTTAAGAGGCTGAGCATGCCCGAAATCCGGTCCGAGCAGCTTTTTTTCTCACACAACCTAATCCGGCAAACAGAGGTTTATTATACCCAATGGCCCTTTAAATTACCTCCCACCGATGTTGTTATTCCCTGTACCTACAATAATATCCAATCAATATTCAAATTAACGCAATGAGGATTTTATACTAATGTTATAAAACTAGGTAATGGTATTGGATTGAATGGTCCAATCAAATCATTCGAGAGTATTTCGCATAATACATGATCAACATATTGAACGGTCGAACTGAGATGAACTAACTTATTCCATTTCATGTATCACTGGAATAATTTCAGGATTTCATTAAGCGGAGAGCCTAGTTAGAGCCTTTGTTGTTCAATTCAGTATCGCAATCAATTTCCTCAAATTTTGTTATCTCGCTCATTTACTGTATAATCATTTATAATAATTATTATAAGAATTACTGGCTGATGATGGTCACTTGATTGCCTGAAACATTGTCCCTCAATAATCTTCGATTATCAAAATTTGAGATGATTTTGAGAAAATAAGTATGAACTTATGAATTATTGGGAGTTTTATATTTTTGTGAAGGGCTAGGGTTCATCTATTAACCTGAAGAAATTTTGTGAGCGTATAATGGGATCAGGTGAAACGAACTTGAAATAATTTCTGAAGTGTCTATCGGACGAATCTTCGCTTAAAATGTAAAATGTTCCTATTTCTCAACACAGAATAGAATGAGATTTATGCAATGCACGAACGGGGCTTTCCCTGGTACTGGATTAGAGAACGGCAGTGGAAATTGTACAGAGTGAATCATTCTCAGCTCTCGAATTCATTACAAAAATCATGTAGTCATGCAGAAATCAATTTTCTATATTGGTAGGATAGAATATATATATAAATAGGTATAGTTCTTAATTTTATTGGGCCATCAATAACGAAACCTAAACGGTTTCCTTTTTTTTAATACCGGCCTTCCACGATGAGACTATAAATGTAGATAATCAAATTTGCTCTTGATTTCGTAAAGGAGGAATATTGCCTTATATTGGATTTTCATCGGGACGAATGGAGGAAAAATTATGATAAATTTATGGGGGACAGACTCCAGACCTGGCGAGCCCTTGGCTTGGGTCTGCATAAACTTGGCAAATTGGCCGCGTTCCAAGATTATCGACGGTTACCCGCAAAATTGAATCACAAATAGTAATTATGAATCGAGTTGGAAAGTCTGATATAATTAAAATATGATTTATTGTCCGGATGAAATTTCATATTCTAGATAAATTGATGCTTACACCGCGTTGTTCGTAATCGGTAAACGGTTATAGTTGTTTTTTAAGACCACGAAGATTGAATTGTTTTTTCATTTACGCCCAAAGTATGTTTTTATGAGAACTTGATGTAATAATAGAGAGATTCTAGGGACAAAAATAGTAAAAAGAGTTCATATAAACATGGTTTCAGAAATGGCCCCGTGGGGAGTATAGCCATCTGAAGGAAGACTTTTTGAACCCAATTCGAAAATTTTAAAACTTCCGAAATTTTCGATCAGGGGCGTAGAAAACAGGTGGGGTTAGGGGCTCTTTTGTCCCCAACTTCTTTGTTTGTGCAAGTTTTCGCAGTTTGATCTATAAATATTAAAATTTCATCATTTTTACTTGAAAATTGTACGTGATTGTACTCTTGTTTAGTTTTGATAGCACTCACCATTTTCGAGATGATAACGCCTCATATATTATTTCAAGTTTTTTTTTTTTGTAGATTAAGTATTGCTGACTATAACCAGGGCCTAACCCTCCAGGGGGCTTCAATCGATTGACAGCATATTGAAAAATAATATATTACAGGACGTCCCATAAGTCTTGGATCAAAAGAGATGGGGTGTTTTTTTTTCATTATCAATTAAGAAACATGTTTTTCTTAAGTTTTGTTTAATGAAATATTCAATTCAGTTGATTTTTTAATGCCGCTGGCAGATTTCAAAACTGCCCCACAAAGATAACCAACTATAAGAAAAAGTTGTCCATTTAATAGAGATTCCGAAATAGTATAACATACGGGGTTATTCAAAACAGCCTTCTTGTAATTAATTAATTAATTTTCAAATGGGTAGTGTTTTTCAGAAAAATTTAATTACTTTTGAACCATCACATAAACGGTTAGTTTGATTGCGAATGCCCCCTCCACCACCCCACTTCTTTTGATCCATGACTTATGGGATACCCTGTATGAACAGTATAGATGTACTTGGGAGAAAAAGGATCGGTATAAGTACTGGTTAGCTATTGTTATAATCATTTTCATCCCGATAACTAAATGGTGAAGTCACCATGGAATGTGATACATGTACTTTTCATTATTGATCGATGAGAAAACATTCAGTCCAACTTCTTGCTGGCGGTAATTTCAAAGTATGAGCACGTACTTTGCGACACAGGGGCGTAGGCCAAATTAGGTTTTCGTAAGATTTTAAAATGTATGGAAAGCTTCCGACTATATCTTCTGAATTTACAAGGTGATTCCCGGAGATTTTGCATGAAATTGACTTATACGCTTCCCCCAAGATTGATGTTCACATAAGGAATATCGCAAAGAGCTATCTGATGGTTGATGTTGAAATATCATATTATGGAGCACAAATTACCAGACTGAATCTTAATGCAATAATGTTCTCTCTTTCGGAGATATTCGCCCTTCAAGGTAAAAATCATCAGAAAGGAGTTTTTAGTTGACAACTTCACAACGTTTAGAAAATGTGTAAATCATACTCCAGTCCGATATTTCCGAAAGGGATCTTTGGGAAAATATTTCATTTGAACTTTTAGTATTATCTTCACCTGCCCTACTCAATTGTGAGTAACTCAAGTAACTTGACAAACAGTAATATTATAGCTAAATATTAGATTGTACATTACATCACAGAAGTTACCCGCTGTGCTTGTATTTATCGCTTCTTCATTATTGTTGGCCCATCTGTGATGACCGAATGATGTGTTTTCTGGCCTTTTCCAATGCAAATTGAGTGGTTTATTTATAATGATCAAAACTAAACTAAACAGACTTTGTTGATCTGACAAGAGTTCGTGAATTCCCTGGAGCCCGAAGTGGGTTGCTTGAAAGGATTGGAACTTTATGGTTTTGGTACTCTGGAAAAAGTCCCATTCTGATCCCAACAATACGCACTTGAAATGTTTACATCAAACTTTGAATCACCCTGTATAATGATGGAAGTACAGTGTGTCAAACTTTCGATGCTTTTGCGTACTATCAGGTACCTAAGTGTTGTGTTTTGTTAGTTAATTAGTGTTGGTATTGTTTTTGTCCTCTTCATGGAAAAATCGAAAGAAATATTCCTTCAATTGGAACTTTTTTATATGAAAAATCCATTGCCCACTTTATGGGGCATTTTTGAAAATTTCATATTTATACATTATATCTCATTTTGAAGGGAGAAAATAAGGAATTTAATGAGCTTATAACAGGGTGTCCCATTTGAAAAATCATAAGTTTGAGTCGTATCTTCTATGCGATAAGAATTTATTTTATTTTTGCTCCAAATCGCCCTGTATATCATCAACGGAAACAGGTATGCAAAATCTGATTGGGCCATCTTGAGTTTCACAAAAAAATGGCGATGATCGCGAGAGCCACAAGGTTTTATCTCCAAAGAAAACTGAGCTATCACGCAAAAGCATCGAGAACTGGACAAACTGTATAGCATATACGACATTTACAGCAATAAATAAGAACTATTTGTTCATCGACAAATTCTGCCAGCGGTATGCCATTCGCCAGCTGGGTTACTAATATGACATCAAATTCATATATTTCTGAATAGCAAAATTGAACTTTTTTCCGTTGTTGCAGAAACTGCAAACGATCGGCGAAGATTTTTGTGGCCTGGACGTGAACACTCCTCTAGGCGGCGAACAACCTGTGTCTGCGGTGCCCGTTCTTCTTTTTGACACTCGTCTGACAGCCGTGGTGGCCACATCGACCGGAGATTTCACTGTGGTCTTCATCGGCACGGCCAAAGGGCATTTGAAAAAGGTACGTTAAGCGCTATCGTTATATTATTAGTTAATTTCGGTTCCCCGGCAACCTACGTTATTTCGATGTGTATATTTTCACACTGACAGGTATTTCCCCATGGGGTATTCGAACGCGGAACCCCTGTGGTATAACCAAAGAATATCAGCCCTCTGCACTATGAGAATTACGTATTTTCAGAGCGATTAATACTTAGTTTCTAGTTAGTTTCAACGTTTTTCCATGTTTTCCTGAATAAGCTGGGGGTTTGGGTATCATTCCGTTTTCAGCATGACATTTTTATTTTTCTTGAAAGAATTTACTGAAACTTTTCTGGAAGGGTGCAATTTACTAGAATTCTTAAAAAGACATTTCAGTAATAGTTGAAGAACAATGTTAAAAAATGCAGACCACTATATAGAAACTTGGGGACATTTCGAATGAAGTTTTCCAAGTATTGGCAATGTATCGTGGCTATACATTTAGGTATACCTCCTAGTACCTAATACATTAGTTTGTTGTAGTTATATCCCAAGTTGAAAAAATATCTACTCCCTACCTGATAATATATATACAATGTCTTCTTCAGCCTCATAGTGATTGATGAATTTGGATCCCTAATTCAGAGGTGGGTAACATAAAGAGTACATATTGCCTCGTGAACTCATATTTCTCTAAAAAACCAGCAATTAGGTGCCTATCGAATGGTTTTAATGCAAATGAAATCGTGCGTTTATTTTTCAATCAATCAAACTGAAATTTAATATCATCAAATAGAAGTTTCCGAGTGCAATAATTTGTTTACCTATATATCGAATCAATTGTGGCGATAGGACATTAGATCTAATCAGCCCCAATAACTGATTTTTAATATAGTTTGTGTTCGAGATCATATGTCATATTATGAAATTATCTCATGTTTACCTATTCCTATTAGATGATATGTTGTTGAAGAGGACTTCTATAAGATGGAATAACTACATCAAAATACATATCGATATGCCTTACTTTTAATAACGTAATTATCCAGAAAGAAATGGATTCAGACGGAAAAAAATATATTTTATAACACAAAAGAGTGAGATAAATTTTGGATAGAGACATGCTTATTATAGTTAGGTTACTTGGAATTGAAAGGTATATACAATTTTTTGCTGAAGTTGTACAAAACTCATTTAGGCCACAAAAAAATAGTGGTAATGAAATATCATTGTTATCTTTTCCGATCTTTTCTATCACTCGTCATTTTTTGTGAGCAAACTTTTTTCTCCGTGTGAAGGAACTGGTGGCTGAGAAAAATTACAGGGAGGAAACGAGATTTGTCGATTTCTGTTGTCAAGGAATATCATGGAACAGGAACGGGAAATAAGTTTATTTGATTATGCGCGTCGCTCTATTTCAGCTTCAGAAGGAAAAGCATACTTTTAGCGCGGGACCGTCGGAGCGCAAAGCAAAATAGAGCGGCGTTGAATTGATTTGGTTGTTTGATTGTCTGTTCATCGGGAGTTGATTGGATAGGTGGGCGGACCCTATCGCTATTTTCGGCACTGCGAGTATTATGTTCTGCGTTTTACCACAGTTAATATTCCTTCAACTGTGGTTTTACGTGATCCCCCGAATGCCTACTGCGATAACACTTGAAAATCATATATAATGTCCCGCAATTGGATTGGGGAACCTGAATTTTTTTCTTAGATTTGTAAAATTATAACATCAAGAAATATTGACAGATTTTGATTCGGTTTCCAGATTTCATTATGCTCATTCTGTTGTCTTAGATGGATGAGTCATGGGCGTCATTTAGTGGGGGCAGGTGGGGTTAATTCCCCCCCCTGATTTTCTACAAAAAACTGATTCTACTTAGAACGAGACTTAAAACCTTCCTGTAACCACATGACAACATGTTTACATCAGCACCAGTACATAGAATTGAGAAAAAGAAATTCTAAACATCATTCAGTATAATAGTTGATATCAAATATGATATATACTTGAAAAAGGAAGCAAAATGTCAAATTTTTCTAGAATATAAAAACTGGCGCTTTCAGCAATTTGACAATATCAACGAAATTACGCTTCGTAATTTCAGATCACTTTATATCAATTACAACAAATTGAGAACATGAAACTGAATAATTTATAATATGTTATGAATTTATTGTTAATCTGGAAGAAATCTAACTTTGAAATTTGATTCTTTTTGTCCTTGAATCCCAACAAAACTTTCGCCTGCGGCACATTTCTTACCATACAAAAGTGTTGTCTGAGGTCCTTGACCATTCGTGGTATTCAGTAGTATACACTGAAATGGAGTTGTCAACACTCTGGAATAATTCTTATTTCCTATCTCAAGATATTTGACCTTGAACCCAATGAAATTTCGCCTGTGGCGCATGTACACAGCACGAAAATGTTGTCTTAGTTTCTTGACCCCTTCCCTTGGTATTCACTGAATTGACGCCTTTGCGATGAGTTCAATAGTGAATTCAAATAAACAGCAAATTTTGGAACGTTCAATGACTCCGGTGGTAGGTAATTTACATAATTTACATTGGGGGGTTTGATACCATGAAGAACAACAACAACAAAAAATCCCTAATCTGATTTCATGAAAATATGCCCCCTTTTCATTTCAATAAAATCGTCCTGCGCTGTCTATAATGATGTTTGTGAGATGAAGGGGGGAGGGAGGCGTTTAAAGTGAGACACGCTGTAGATCGAGGCGTTCCGTTCCGAATTCCGATGGATTCAATTCAAATATTTCATCGGATCGATGGCGAACGTTTTTTACTGAAATTGGTAAACCGATCCGGAATACCGAATGAACGCAACTTTTTTTCTTAATTCTTAATTGCGTGTTATATTAGACAGTCCAATCTCGTCTGAGGACTCATTTCTCTCCGCAGTGTCTGCTCCAATATTTGCGTAGATCTCCGATGACGGGCCTACCCCTACCCAATCACAGGGTGGGTGTCCCAGCCCAGCCAGGGTCCCTATAATTTGCGAACCGTCAAACGGATTTTCCAGCGAAAGGAAACGGTCGACATAGACAGGGTGTCCCATTCAAATGTGTTCTGGAATAATTTTTCACGAATTTTTTTAATCATGGTTCACTTTTTCTTTATATAAAAAATAACAGGGTGGCTCAGAAAGAATTTTTTTTTTCACATGAAATGATCCATATTTTTATCCATAATTCGATGAAGCCCGTCGAATTCAAATATCATTCATATATTATTATCGAATAGAATTTATAGTATTTCATTTAAAAAAAAACTTTTTTCTTCTTTAGTCACCCTGTATTATGTTGATTTGAAGAGAAAATGAACACAGATTCAAAAAAATCGTAAATAATTATTCCAGACACGTTTTTGGATGGCCAAAATATGTTGCGAATTACGAGGATAAAGGGGGGTGACACATTTAGGTGGGACACCCTGTACACACCTAACTCACATTCGATTCGAAAAAGAGTTACTCGACGGACATATCCAATTGCCTACCACCTCCAGGGTACGGATTCGGGTGAATTTCATATCACTTTCTTGGCTTTTCACTTCGCGTTTCACCAGTTTTTCTTCTCCTTTCAACCCCAATGTCTTACAGAAAAATTCAAATGGGCAAAAATGAAGTATTTATATGGGCATTCTGAATCTATCACTAGGAAATGCAAAAAGGCATCGTAAGCCTAAACATTCTACATGTTTTTTTCAAATAGAACACCCTGAATTGTATTTTCCTGATCGGTAGAGCTCTTCCTCCTGATATCAAATATTCTTCATTGAGATTATCTTTTGTCGGTTTTTGAAAAATATAGATTTCTTGGAATAGATCTAAGGCAGGTATAGAACACTAGGCGACAGACAATGTTCTGACTTAGATTCTATATTTTTAGGAAACTGACAAAGATAACCTCAATAAAGTATATATATATATAAAAGAACAAAAAAAAAATCACCCTGTATGTCGCGTCAACTTTTATGCAACGCTGAATGGGCGAAAAATACGTTTCCCTCGACAATAACGTTTAATGAATATGTTTTATTAACATTTACAAAACGTAATATCTAACGATTCGATGATAAATTCCTCAAGAATACAATTTTTTTCACTTTGATATACCTTTTGAATGGAAAAACGTTGGTAACTCAACCTATCTTAACTTTTTCAACATCTGGGTGACCATTTGGACATTGTTATGATGTACTAACCAAAATTCACGAAATTTCATAACATAAAAAACGTGGAACAACGCATAAACGACACATACCGCGATCAATCCAATGCAATTTATATACGATACGGATACGACTTATTCATTGTGTATATATCTCAGTTCACTCCTACTGTGGAAGTGAATTCTTACTTCAGATATATTTCTAGTAGCTATACTGAGGAATATAATACTATTGGTGCTTTTCGGTATTTATATCACGTCGTTGAAAGCTTGCGTTTTTAAGATGCGATTATTCTCATGAAAAAAATATTTGTGGTGATTTCAAATATAACGAATGACGGTATGAAACACTTTCAATACGTGAAACGATCAATATAAAATGAATTTGTAGTAAAATCGACTAGGGTGAACAACCCCATTACTCCTTCATCAAGTATGATTACTGCGACACAGCAAATTGTTGTTTTGAAGTGATATTCGAAGCTTTTATTTATCCTGTCGTAACGAGACCTTATTCATGCAATCCCACCACGCATCTCCTTCGAGTGCTATCCAGAATGGGAAGCTCCTAACTACCGACTTTTATATTATCTGCATAGATGTAGGTATACCCACTTCGAAAATTTCACATCTGTATTCCGCTCGGAAATCATTTCTACATGACAATTGATTCGGAAATTTCATACACATGCTGAACAGTACGTCGCGAGGGTAATAACGATATTTTATTATCGAGCATACCGATAATTTTATGGAGTCTGAAGATATTCACTTTTTATATCCCGGATATTAAAGCACTTTTATATTCCCATTGCTCGTGTCTGTGGCACATAGATTATATATTATTTGAACTGTCGATATACGATAGGATAGAAAATGATGACCAACCAAGTGCTTTGTTTACATTGTTCATATACCATCGAAATGTTCCTCTTTGAATGATGATTCCCTTATCTGAAATTAACCTTACTGTAATAAAAATGGAATGATATAGTGCTAGTAAATCAAATAAAGAATAGTGTACATAAACTTATTTATACATGGTACCAACTCCAAACGATTTTTCTATACGTATCGTTTATCTGATACACGTGAATTTGTAATTTTTTTTTATTTCAGGTTGTGGTTGAGTCATCGACTTCTGCATTGGAATATGGCGATTTGGTGGTCGAGGAAGATTCCCCAGTGAATCCTGATCTGCACTTTGACTCTCAGTCTATGCATCTTTATGTGATGACGGAGAAAAAAGTATGTGGTTTTTTTTTCAAAACGACATTTTTAAACGATACGTTGCCGTGATTTGGAACATATTGGACGCTGGACACACAACGGTCAATTCATTAGTATTTTCTCGAACAAATATATTGATGGGTTCATACAAGTGCAGTATTTCTCAAGTTTTTTAATATGTCCTTCCGCCTTTTTTTCGCTCCGTTCATGTGCGAACGAGAATAATGTGACGTTGATAAAACAAACTCCTATCCATAATATTATAATCATATTATGGGATAGGATGTTCAAGATTGATGTCTAATCACACGATGAGTCAGCTTCTGAAGAAACTTACCGAAATTAAGTTTTCGCATTGGAAACATTCCTTACCTACTTTTGATCGGCGATTTGAATAATCAATAGAGAACCTGCCGCTTGGGGTTTGCCCATTAATTATTATTCTCCAACTGAAAACTATTTAAGCTATTTAATTTGTATCAGTAGGCAGGTAATCGGCCAACTATGGCTCAATGCATAAATAATTAATTCATCAATGAATAGCTTGAGCTTTGACGTTTTCGATACCTACATAACTTCCAGATCGTAATTACACTCTGTATGAAAGTTTATTCCAGAGGGCATTCACTGATAAATATCACTCCACAGTCAATGACAAAAAAGTATCATCATGTATAAATTTAGTTTTTGTTTATGATTGCATGACGATAAATAGCGGATGCTCTGAATATTTTCGCTTTATCACTGTTTCAATACACAAACGATAAGACATGCATTGGCAACAAAATGAAGTGGGTTGTAGATTGTTTTGTCCAACACTAGCCCTAGAACGTACCATTACTTTCTCCTTTTCCACTTATGAACTCAAATTTCAGTACCTAGGTAATTTATTGTTCATTTTATCAACTAGTGGTTCATAAAGATATAGCCTCGGACATAGATGTTATTAGTTTGAATTCATATCGATTGCGATACGAGAATTCAATTTAAAAAAGAGAATGAAATAATTGTTTGAGAAAGGAAACATCATTTTAAATCAATCACCTTTCTCAATGAATATTCAGGGCAAATATCGCATTAATAACACAGATTTCTAACATATTACAAATGGATATGATCACGGCAAATCACAGACTGTACTGAACTAGGTTGCCAAATCTGGCTGCCAAATATCGTTCGGAATAGTTCGGAGTAATCCAAATTGATCAGCGAGGATTGAGTAACTGTGATCACCAACGACCGACTTATTACTCTATATGTCGGTATCACCACCCGATCTGGTGAAATTGACACCGCAAGGCGTCAGAAAACCAAGAACTATACAGGGTGTCTCCAAAAAATAACCCAACTCTTTTGTTTCGTGATAAATGTTATTTTTAGTACCAAAATGTGATTATTCAAACACTTTTACATAAAAAAGGTACCCCTGTTAGAATGCCGTAAAACGAACCGCGTTCGAGAAAAATGTAATATTCCATTCTGATTCACCTAGTGAAGGAGTTTGTGCAGAATTTCGCGAAATTGCATGGCGGATATTTTCTCAAAAAATACCGTTCAAATTTAATGAAACAAAACTACCCGAAAATGCACAATTTTCAGAATCAAGCTTCACTTTTTCTATCATTAGAGCAAATGTCCTAAATCATTGTGAATTTTTTTGGACATCAAAATGGAAAATTACACCTTCCTCGATAACGGTTCGTTTAATGGCCGTCTAACAAGAGTTTCATTTTTTTATGTAAAAGTGTTCGAAGAATCATATTCTAGTATAATAAAAATGAGATAGATCATGAGATAAGAAGGGGGCATTTTAATAGCATCGGTTGCGAGTTTTGCACCGCCCTGTATAATATCATTTTTCCTTGCCATAAAACGATTTTAATGATCAAATTATTACCCTATAAGTACCAAATTTCGTGATTCTGGGAACAATGGTAACAAAGATAATTGAAGAAAGCTGCTTTTAAGGACCTATCTTCAGAAGACTGTAGTGCCGTAGCGCATTTAGAAAGCATTTTCGGGCATATGTTGTTATTCTAGGACATCCTGTATAAGAAGAAAAAAAGAGGAGCAAGGAGTAACTGTGTCAGCCACAGCGTTGAGACTCTTGTTTTACTTTTAATAATAATTTTATAAATATGGATGAATGAATAACTATTAGAGTAGGACGAAAAATGCATCCAAAAATCGATTCACGTGTAGGTGATGGCAGTTGGTGTCAGTCCTTTGCGTGTTTATTAATATGCTCCAAATTGCGGATGATCGACGGAATATGTTGTTCAACGCTACAATTCTTTTCAGGTGTCCAAAGTGAAAGTTCAGGAATGTACGGTGTACAGAAATTGTCTGGAATGTTTGGGAGTAAAAGATCCATATTGTGGATGGTGTTCCTTAGAAAATAAGTAAGTCTCGCCTGAGTTTAGCTGATTCGCGTTCACTAACTGTTGTGGTCCTCAGGTGTAGCTTACGTTCGGATTGTCAAGATGCTGCCAAAGATCCCCTTTATTGGATAAGTTACAAGAGTGGGAGATGTACAACAATTACCTCGGTGATTCCTAATCAGTTACAAAGAACCACAGCTCGAACGGTAATTATCCACACTTGATTATTTTTGTATTTGTCGTTGTGGATCAACAGAATTGAAAATCTTATTTTATCGAATAATGAACTTTTATGTGTGTGATGCAGTTATCTTCTTGAATGTTAATAGATTACTGATCATTCATAATATCTTCAAAAAAATGGGGCAATATTATATGAAAAATCAGACATCTCAATTCAAGAGGCGCCCGACAACAACAACATTTTTTGGTGCAAAAGATGTAGAAATTTAGGAATTTAATATATGACTATTCACTATATGTTCACCCCTGCCTTTGAACTCTTTTGTTGAAGAAGATAATATTGAACATTTTCCCCTATTCCAGCATGTGATATGAGAATGGTAAATGATTTTTAAAATCAAATTCCCATATATTTTCATGTTTTCTGAATTATTCTTTTTTCTAAATTGGAATATATTTGGAATGTCACAGATCATTAGCGAAAATATACTTATTAACCCTTTATATATCAATTCAGAACTGATCGATCTAAAAAAAAGGATAAAATATGGGGCGACTCGCTTAGCCCAACATCCTTTTTATTCAACGTCAAGATTCAAAAAGAAATTTGCTTCAAACAGTTGGAAAATGCAATCTTTAATGTGACACTGTCTATTCAGGGTGTCCCAAAATTGTTGGGACAAAGAGCTTCCACGTGTAATAGAGGTTAACATAAGTTGATTGGACCCAATTCATTTATATAACAAAATGTACCGTTTGTTCCTGAGAAGAGTTCGAAGTTTACATAAAAAACTGATTTTTGTTTGCTGTTCAGCAATGATGAGTGAAACAAATTCAATGCAATTTGACAAAAGTGCGTTTTAGAGGATTTCTCAGTAATCATAGAATCCCTTGTTTCAGAACATTCTTGAGGATGGTAATACAGTTCTAAGATTTGTTTGAACAGGAGTCAGAATAATTATATTCATCATACTCTTCATATTTCCGATGGAAAACATGTTTTATTCGATAATGTTCACAGGTATTTCAATATGACGGCCACCGTCATCAATATAAAGGTCAATTCGACGTAAAAAATTTAAATGCACCTGTTTAATGTAATCTCATTACTCATTTCACGGATAAACGGTACATTTTGGTTTATAAATAAATTGGGTTCAATCAACTTATATTGACCTATTTTGGACACCCAGTATTTCTGGATTTCTGAAATAAAATCTATTGATCGAAGACAATAATGGTCGAAAAATATGTCTACGAGGTCAGTATGAATATTGTCATGTTCATACAAAGAATTCCAAGAACTCTGGCACCATATGAGTAACATGATCATTATATTATATGTATAAAAAAATATCGCTGGTTGTGCAATTTTGATCCATCGATGTTCGGCGATTTCAGCTGGACCTCGTCATCGATAATTTACCGACGTTGCAAGGCCATTTCCTGTGCGCCTTCACGGCTCTCGATAAGACCCTGATAACGAACGCGACCCGCAAAGGATCCGGGGTGAACTGCACCACCCCCAGGACTGACGCCTTGCCTTCCATACCGCCTGGTCAACGTAAGTATCGTATTTGTACAAATGTGAAATCTCGTAATATTATGGCGGATTTATGCAACATTTACATAGTCCTAGTCTTAAGTCTAAGTATAGTCTTAGTATTTTTGTCTTGAAGATTTGAGGTATTTATCCAGAAACATTAAAACTTGATTTGAAGAGTCATGTGAGAATTTGTGGTTCTTTTTGTATCAGAGATGAGGAAAATTATCTATCAAACTTATCAACATCTGAGCTTTCTCATAATATTATTTTCAGAACATGTAAACAACGAATCATCAACAATTCTATCAAAGGAGCATGCGCCGAATCCACATAACATAAGCATAAGCATAAAAGTTCAAATTATTAAACTTTCAAGGTCGTTTCTTAGGCTTGTGCTTAAGACTAAAATTGATGTGTGAACAGTAGTACCTTGTTTCAACTTCTAATTATTTTTAAAATTATGACTAACACTATGATTCGGACTATGCAAATGTTGCATAAATCCACCATTAACTAACCAAAACTACAAAGCAGTTCTTTTTCTACTCGAGGTAGTATGTCGGGGTATCGGTCGAGACAATAAAGCAATCAGAGTGTAATCAGAGTGGAAAACATTAAACAAATAATACAGACTTACTGCAAAAGAATGTCAACGACGTTTCACTCATCGATGGTGCTAGTGTTGACTTTTTTTATTTAAAATTTACCGTCAATCAATGAAATTTAGTAAAAAGAAAGAAGAAGAAGGGGAGATAGAGAGAGGTAGGCAAGTGACGGAAAGATAGTGGTTAGAGACGAAACTGACGAAAGAGACCCAAGAAGTTTTTGAGATGGTTTCTTTATTGGTATTTCAAGTATTTTCAAAGTGACCTCCTAAAAGTACTTATTGTTCTGTTTGTGAAGCTATGTAGATGTTAATGTGACGAATAGAGTGCATTGCTAGATCACCGGAATTCCCTCATTACCCTTCAGCCATCAGAGATCCAGAGGCCAAAGATAACTACTCAAAATCTTGCTAACACTAGCTTCACTAGCTGTGCTGTTCATGTTATTCCCTGATTGTAATCTATGATCATTCCTGTCATATCATCGGCTCGCTTATACTGATATACTATAGCATAGACAGGAGCTGCTATTCTAACTAACCTTCAGAATAGGAGCTACAAAGACTCCTCTGACCAAAAATCAAATACCAAATCAAAAATCATTAAATAATGATATACAGTGGTCACACACTTCGAAAAAACTATCCTTAACTTTGGTAAGATATGTAAAGTAGTTTGATGATATTTTTGAAGACTTCGGCTTCCTTTCAGTACTGAAAAAATCAATTCAAATAAATTTTGCTTCTGAATGATAGACGCGATTTATCAACTTTGCATCAAACATAACAAAAATTTTAAGGGCTGATCTTTATTGTCTGAAGCCAATCATATTTTTGTCGATAATTATTGATTGAATGTCACAAGCATGATGAAGCTACTAGAAGCAATTGAAACAATTTCAAAAACCAAAAGTTGTTATTATAGAACGTTCAAATTCGAGACACATATTTGAAATTGGAATAGAAACAACTTTTCTCAGTAAACATCTTTGAAATTCGAACGAATAAGCCTGTTTCCAGCGATTAATTTGGAAAAATATAACTTTTGACATGTACCAAGAGTCATATGACCACGACCGAGTCCATTTTTCATATTGTTTCAAGCAAAACTTAACAACGCCCAAGTTCGGAATAAATTATTGCTGAAAGTTTTTTTCCATATGATGCCGACTTTATGAATGACACTGTATAAATATATATAAACCAGATCTTCCAATCTGAACGGGAACATAAATATCAAACACAACATAGCGCTATGAGTCATGAGTTCTCATTCCTAACTGCCTTTCGGCCTCGATATAAGTGTTCTCCACAAGATCATCCTGTCTCGTCAGCGTATCCCCAAATTGTACCTGCCATGCTTTCGAGTACAGAAAGTCGGTACAGGGTGTATGGAATATTTTATCGATGAAAATAACCTAAAAATAATGAAGGACGTGCGTGATCGGTTTCGTTTTTTTTTCTTTTTCAGATCACTTCACTGCCAAACTCTCGGTGCGAACGACTTCCGGACCGGATTTCGTGGCCACGAATTTCACGTTCTTCGATTGCAACACGTACAGCTCTTGTACGCAATGCGTTTCGTCGTCTTTTCCCTGCGACTGGTGCGTGGACGGCCATCGATGTACGCACGATACAGCAGAGAATTGCAGGAACGACATCCTCGTGACGGGAGTCAGCGTAAGTCTTTCCCAATTCGGGCAGTAATTGCGCACTTTTTGCGCCGTCTGGTTTTACTATGTCTTTTATCAATATTGGAAAATTCGCTATTTGAAATAAATTGAAACTGTAATGAAACTTGATACGCTATAAAATCCTTATTTGTAGAAATTCGTAAAAGTTTTATGAGTATTTCAAAGATAAAATGTGGCTACATAAAACGCCAAGATTTCACCGTAAAACGTATATTCAGGCAAGAAGGTGTGCTAAGAATATTTATTAAGCTGTTTTTCCTGAAGCAAACCATCACCCATATCGAATTGTTCAGAATCCTATCTATCCATTCAAATACAAATTGTTGTAACTGATAATGCTAGATATGATCCTCGTCAATCCACATTGGGAGAGCCACAGGGATCGATACTTGACCCTTTACTCATTACCATCTATGTGAGTGTTATCACAAAATTTTGTTCAGCTCTCGAGCAAACTAGTCAGTGATATGCTTGATGATATTAATATCTTCATGTCAAATAATGATATTCAGAACAGTAACAAAGTATCCTATGAGTTTAATGTGACAAAAACTCCTGATTTTGAGACGTATTTTTACATTGAGAGTTTTGAAACTATTGAATTCTTAAGCATATATAAATGATGTAAGTGCAAAGTAATGTACTCATTGTTATATGATAAGAAACCTTAGAGAAATTATATCAGTTCACATATTAAAACTTCTTTATTATGGATTAGTGCAGTCCCACTATGGCTCAATATTTTGAGGTGCTTCACCTGTTTATAATATGTCAACAATAAAGAATCTGAAACTCTGACGTTACCTTTTTTTTTATTTTTCACTTGATTCTATATATTAAAGGAATGAGCAATCTTCCTTTTTTTATCCTTTTGGTTTTATACTACACTGTTTTACCACTAACCAGCATCTTTAGGATAAGAAGAGAAGAAGTTTTAATCTTCTGAAGCCAAAAGGTTCAGTCTTTGATATACCTTAGTCTAATGGAACCATGTTATATCAGTAATAAATAAAATGAAATAAAAATTCTGACAATAAATCGTCTATCTTGTATTCCAGAGAGCCGGTCCTAGCTATAGATCAGGTCCGGCCTTCTGTCCGACCATCAACGCCACAGTCGGTAATTCCCCGGAGATCCTGGTGGCTTCTGGCATCAAGAAAGCCATCAAAGTCAAAGTCCACATCATCGGCCAGTTCATCGTGCAGACGAGGTTCGTCTGCCAGTTCAACATCGAAGGGCGAGTGACCAGCGTCAACGCGCAGCTGCTCGGAGACACGATCTACTGCGACGCCATGGAGTTCTCGTACACTTCCAGGGCTCCCAACATCACTGCTACTTTTGCTGTCATTTGGGGCGGCTCCAAACCGCTGGACAACCCGTACAACATTCACAGTGAGTCCGTCGTTCTATGAATTTTCGAATTTGAACTGTTTTCGTTATTGTCGTGGAGAAATGCAGCTTTCTACTCGTGTATCTCGAGAATAAGAGGCGTCATTGAATGCTCGTTGATGAATACAGATCGGCAAACTTTGATATCAGATTTCTCACTTGATTTCCATCAACATCTATCCTGAAATACATCTTTTCTGATATAAAGGATATCGAAAATAGTATCTAGTTTCCTTATTCACAGTAGAACATTGCCTTCAGTTAACTTTTGATCAAATTCACCTCTCAGTGTCTGGTATTAGGTTTTTGTTTCCTGAAAATGACACTGAAAGCAAAGCAAAATTAAATCAGTGGACTAAATTTTCGAATTGAATATTCAGAATCTCATATGAATGCTCTGAATTTCCGATATTCCAGATATTTTTTAATGGTGTGATTTTTGGGCGATTAATTATCAATTATGATTTACACTACTAGTTTTTACTGCTAACCAAACAGATCTTTTTGAACACCTCGACACGTGTTTTGCTAACTATGTTAGCAATTTCAGGAGAAAATTTAAACTGCTTTGGTCTTAAAAACAAGAACAAGATCAAAACACTTTCAATCAGAGTTGAAAAAATCGGTTTGGTTAGTGGTAAAACAGTATAGTGTGAGTATCATTCCCAAAGGTTCCAGTCTTCACAATTAGCCTGCAATACTTCACCATCTGTTTCAACCATCAAAGATAAGAAAAAGGTCCTCATGAACATAAGTGGAATAATGTTTCATAAGCGAGCTACTCCCTCCTAATATGTCTAATAATAAACTGTGAGGGGGGAAAAGGGGAGGAGGGGGTAAAATCACCCTAACTTTTTTTGGTGCAGTTTTTTCGCAATTTTAGCAAAACATTATGGCTCCAATGTAAGCACAGTAGGCATGTTGACTAATCTTGTTATATTATTTAAATATAATCATCACTCAACTACGTTTCATTTCCATGTTTTTCAGATCATTTCGGTCGACTTAATAAAGGTCTTGAAATCATCAATAATGCCAAGGAAATTTTCAAATGGCTAGAAATTCTCCGCAAATAATGACTAAAGTACAATTTCCTAAGTAGGGGCAGTCAATAGCACAGCTGCCATATGTTGAAATACCATTGGGAGCTTCAAAAATATTATTTCTTTAATGATTCATAAATTTTGAATTATGTTTTGGTTATATTCTTAATTTGTTATAAAAACTCCATTGTCTCAAAATTTAAGTGTTGTGGCTCATTGCTTGTAATGAATTTGTATAAATAATAATTATATTAATTCACACTAGAGAACATTTGATCTAGTAAACGTGACAACTCAGGACTGTGGGCGTTGCCGTTCAGTACTCAGCATTCAGCACAGCATTGCCAAATCTCTATAGCCAATTTTACCTGATGATTTGTTATGGAGTACCAGAAATATTTTAACAAGCTGTCAGAAATTAAGAACTATAATATTATGGCTTACTCCTATCAGGTAAAGTGAGAGATTCAATTTGGATGTATTATCATTCAAACAGGACTCTAACAACTTTTTGATAACTTGATTATAGTTGGTGACTTGACATCCTAGCTTCATGAGTGGGAATGGAAGATTATCTGACCAATAAGGGAACAGCATAACAATTGACATCACCATGTATTACAATGTACCCAGAATATGGCCACATTCACTTAATAACATTATTTGAAAATAGTGATTTGTTTTTTTTTTCAGTTGTAATTTACCGGTGTAGAGACATGGCCGACAACTGCGGCATATGTCTCGCTTTGGCTGAGAAATATGACTGCGGCTGGTGTCAGAGCTCGGACCGCTGCGAAGTGAAGGACCAGTGCGAGAAGGGCTCGGCCGTGTGGCTGAACAGAAGCCAGACTTGTCCCAATCCGGAAGTGACTTCTTTTAGTCCGGAGCTGGGCCCTTGGGAGGGTGGCACCAACATCACCATCCAGGGCATCAACCTGGGCAAGAACTTCCAGGATATTTATTCGGGGATCAGCATCGCCGGTATCAACTGCCAACCGTACGAGCATCTGTACATCAAGACCAAGCAGATCGTTTGCCAGGTAATATACGCCAACAATTTTAAATGTTAAACACAGATAAATGAATAAAGTCGTGAATGGTGGGGATAACTCTGCGATATCATTCACAGAGAATGGATATTCTTCTGGATTCTGGATGTATGTATACGAATCAATAAATCACGTACTTGCTAAGTCAGGTTATTTGTTATATTTAATATTATAAACACGCTCTTCAGTAAACAGAAAATAGTCTGCTTTAGATTTATAATCCTAAATGAGTTACTGAAACACCGAAAACTGAACACACAACAGCCGGAAAACCATAAATAACTACGAAAACGACAAATTACATACAATGATTATTGCTCGTCTACTACTAAACTTCGTGGTACCGCTTCGTTCATCTTTGAAGAATTCATATTTTTTGTCTTGTTATATGGGTACTTACAATAACTAATAGGTTTATGATTGGTAGTATTGGATTTCTAACAATTAAGTTTGTTATGGGTGTATTGTTATGTTGATAAAGTTGTTCCATTTTTTTGTTATATTAAGCTATTTATGCCGAGTTGAAGATATTTTATCCCAACAATCCTCTGGAATTATTGATTCTACAGAGGTCTTTATAATGTGCGATGTATATTCCACAGAAAAAAGAAGCTAAATTAATTCTACTGATTACTGTGAGATCCTAACTCTTGTTTTTTTCAAGGTTGATGGTCCTGGGACTAAAGAGCTTCGCCAAGGACCAGTTACTGTCAAAGTGGAGGATTATCGCGGGGAATCGAAGACACACTATCGATTCGTGAATCCTAACATTACAGGGATTTCTCCGAAGTGGGGCCCCAAATCTGGAGGCACTATGCTGCAGATTACTGGCGAATACATGAATGCTGGTAGTAATATTCAGGCCTTTTTGGATTTTCTCCCCTGTAGGATAGTCTCGTAAGTACACCCTAACGGCATTCATAGACACAGTTATATACAGTTTGTAAAGTTTTTTGGGAAGAATTTTGTTTTCTATTTCGCTGACAATCCTAACGAGTATTTCAAAATCAGTAACTGCATTCACATCACAACTATAAAGTGAAATAATTAATCGACAACTTCGTTTCTTTTGTATTGAAGCTTCATAGCAATTATAAGTTTGGGAGATAAATAATTCAGTCTTATCTCAGCCGACTGTCATACCAAGACAAAACACTCATTGTGCTCGCAAAACTATAAGTGAATTCCAATTATTCCAGAACCGATCAGAATCAAGCGCTATGTATAACGAGCGCTTCTAATTCGACCACGAAGAAGAAACTCAGGATGAAGTTTGACAAAGGCGATAGGTATTTGGAGAACATGATGTTCGAGTATGTGGAAGACCCAGTGATAGAATCTGCCGAATCCGGGGTGGCCAGTCAGATAAAAGTTCCTAAAGGGATACCAGCCGGTGGTATCAAGATCTCTGTTACAGGAAGAAACCTCGCTTTCATACAAAAACCGCAGATGTACGTTTTCTACGAGCAAAAAATGTTTATCAGCGTAAGTGCTACTGGGTATTTTTCCCTTACTCGAAGTTACATTATATTCGTTTTCTAGGAATGTAGTGTTTTGAGTAACACCAGTATGACTTGCAACAGTCCAGTGATAGATGCAGCTGAGGAAGTCAAATTGGATGCTGATAATCCTCTGAAATTGGAATATGGATTCCGTATGGATAATGTAACTGGAGTACAGAATTTAACGCTCAACAAGGAATTCAATCCGTTTCTGTTATATCCCAACCCACTTTTCATACCATTTGAAAAGGAAGTAAAATATTATAAGTCGGATTATTTGAACATCAACGTAAGTGGCAAACATAATCAACATATTCAATCTGATCTGTACCATCCATTTAACCTGCCTAAATCAAGTGTTAGGTTGGTACACTCTGATGCTTCCGTGTTTTTAATTAAGTAAAAATTCAAACATGCAACCCTTCAAAACCACATTCACATCTGGATTATTTTATCTTGGCTAATAGGATTTGGAAGTTCACAACTGTAAACATCCACAATGAAATTCAAATGCAGCCGTGCATTTCGTTAATCCACATCGGATTGTTGAAATAATAATTTACCAATTAGATCTTTAGAATCTTTCAGCATATGAGTAGGTAATTTGAATAAATTAATGCAGTGCTCTCGATCTAGATACAACCTTATGGATGAACATAGCAGTTCTGCACAATTTGTTTTGTTTTTGTTGCCCTAATTTTGACGGGATAAAATTGAACTAATAGGTTATGAATAATGTGGGGGATGAATCCTGGAAGTTTTCAAATTTTCCATTCATTAGGAAATCTCTTTATTTCCACTTGTTGTCAGTCCAACATACCGGAGTTTACTGTTTTTAGGTTCATGATTATAATATATCCAATGATATGAGAATCCATAATTGATATTTATGATCGTTCGAAAAATTGAAAACTCGTTGGAGAATTATTTCCTACGGAGAAGGGATGCATATAATGACCTATTGTGTCCCCTTTTTTTTGCTATAAGTACACTCGATGAGGTTGCTCTTCCTAGCTATAGCAATTTCTCTAGTCCTATATCCCTCGGAAATTTCAGATAAGAGGTGGTTCCAAGGAGGATAGTGTGAGTTTTCCCGTCATTCCCAAACTATTTTGGAGCTGATAACCATAGATTTCAGCACTTTAATAGCTGCTCGACTATCGGACATGATGATATCGTCTTTCATAACTTTTACACATTTATCTATAGCGTGAAGTTTGGTACTAGGCCCTCAAACTTCTATTCCAGTTCCATCTTCCGTTTTGGGGCCATTTGTGTACCATTTTAAGGCTCCTTCTTTATGCTCAATACCGATAAATTCACTGTACCATTCATTTTTGTGGTAAATAATTGGTTCCAAAAGCGGAAAATACCTTGCATCCTATCATTTCAGGGTCAAAACATCGATCGAGCCTGCCAAGAATCCGACGTCCGCGTACTGATAGGCAAGAGCACCTGCAACGTGACCTCCCTCTCGCGCCAACAGCTGACTTGCCGACCTCCGGAGAGCCAGCCGCAGGCGCTCAACGACCTCGGGCTGCCCAACGGCGAGGCCCTGCCCGAGGTGGTGGTCATAGTGGGCGGCTCCCTGCGCTACAACATCGGCGTTCTGTCCTATTCGTCGCCGCAAGGGCTCAACGGGCCGATAACCAAGCCGACGTTGTACGGGATCATCAGCGTGGGGGTGGGGATACTAATCGTTTTCGTGCTTTTCCTGATCGCTTACAGGTAGGGTTGTTTGAAGTAGAGTGAGTAGATTAAATAGAGTGACGACAATAGACCTACAAATGACTGTCGTTTCCGGATTGTCATTCGTGGTCAAGTCTCTGATGAATAATGAATTTGCGCCTTCGAAGTGCAAACCTGAAGTTAGGTTTTGATATTTGATATTTTCATTTCATCATCTAAATTATCTGAGTCACGGTCCAAATGATGGAAACAGATTCAATTCGTATTTATTTCCTTTACCTTTCTTTTCATCTTTTTATCAATGTCAAATTCTCATGAAACTAATACTCAATACTGAAAAGATGAACATCTAAAATTTAAAAAAATAGGAAATTCATCTGGATATCACAATATAAGCAAAACATGTTGAATTCAGCATTGGTGATGATGTATTATTGGGGTTCAGATCAGTCAATTGATTTTTGAGCGCTGAACTTTCAAACAAGCTTCAAGTACTTGAGTTTTTCCCAAATCCAGTCTACCAATGGAGCTGGCTTAAAAACGCTCGAATCTTATAGGAGGAAATCAACCGAGAGCAACAGGGTGTTGAAGAACATGCAAGAACAGATGGATATATTGGAGCTGAGGGTAGCTGCCGAGTGCAAGGAAGCCTTCGCCGAGCTGCAAACGGAAATGACCGATTTGACAGGAGACTTAACGTCCGGCGGCATTCCCTTCCTGGATTACAGGACCTACGCCATGAAAATCCTCTTCCCCAACGTCGACGATCACATCGTTTTGCAGTGGGAGAGGCCCGAGCTGCTCTGCAAGGAGAAGGGCCTGCGCCTCTTCGGCCAACTCATCATGAACAAAACTTTCCTGCTTCTTTTCATCCGAACTCTCGAGAGCAACCGGTACTTCTCGATGAGGGACAGGGTCAATGTCGCCAGCCTCATAATGGTGACTTTGCAGAGCAAGATGGAGTACTGCACGGACATCCTGAAGACGCTGCTCGCCGAGCTGATCGAGAAGTGCATGGAGGGCAAGAGTCATCCGAAGCTGCTGCTGCGCAGGTAGATAGATTGTTTTGATCAATTTACAGAAGTTTTTGGCAGGGCAATGTCGTTTACATTTCAATGCATTTGAACAGTTTAGTTTCCATAAAATGAAGATGTATAGAAAAATAATATAAAAAACAATGAAAGTACATCTTAGAAGCAGAAGCAGGAGCAAAGACAACAAGAACAGATACTCACTAGCAGCTATAAGCGTTTTCCAGTGGTGATTCGGCATTCAATAGTCCTCAGACGAATAAAAACAGCGCGTTAATATACAGGGTGATTAAAAATTAGATGTAAATATTTGGAGGACGTATTGTTGGGATTGAAATAATACTTTTTCTTCATATAAACATATGCCCTAAAATGCACTTCCTCCGAACCACTGTCAGTTGGATGAAAAAAAATCTAAAATTGTGATCCTAAAAATATATCAAGTACAAGTGCAAGTATTATCGGGAGTAAACTGTGACTGAGTTGTTAAGGCTTGTGGTCATGGTTACATTGGTCAAAAACTGAGGACACTTATAAGGTTTTTGTTCATAGAAAAATCCGTAAGAGGTGCTGATAACGTCATATGTTAATGCCTATCGTCCAAATATCAATAATGACGACGAAATGAAAATGAAGAAAATGGTGTAAGTATGGTAATTTTTGATAGTGTTCAATAAAATCCTGATAATTGAGTTCCTATTTCCATTTTGAAGAGTTAGAATAAGATTTAACAAGAACCTTATATAGGGATTTTCTACTGTTTATTGACGTCAAATGTTAGTCGTGACTTCCCATTTCGTTGATTATGATTTCCTGGCAAACGATTAGTTGTGTGAAAAAAATGCAAGAGCTCGAATTCTTACATTTTTTATGGTCCACAGAAGTTTTCTTTTCAAAGACAAAACTCCTCTAAAACTGGGTTTGCATCTGTCTAAAAAGACAGGGCCATGCCAATTCTCAGAAGAGTTGATCCTCTACTTAAGTCACAAATTTAGATACTTATTCTTTTTTTTTTTACCTAACTTACAGTGGCTGTAGCTCGGGGGGGGGGGAAGGCATTTTAGGATTTTAGGACACGTTTATTTCAAGAAAAAGTCTTATTTTGATCCCAACAATATGTCGTGAAAATATTTACATCGAATTTTTAATCAACCTGTATGACGTTTGATTACTGACTTCAATCTGGTATTGCTGAGAAATTTTATATTTAGAGGTTCAAAAATTGTATAAATTCAGATCTAATGAAGTTTTCACTGATTTAGATATTTTAAAACAGAGTAATCTGAGATTACCCGCATTTCTGGTTTGGTAATAATATATATTTGAATTTGTGATCAGTTTCTGTGAATTTCTAATGACAAGTACATATTATATAATGAAGGAAGATACATTATTCTCAGACTTTTGAAGATTGGTTGGCAATGCTCCTGCCACAATTCTGACTGCACCTTTCTGAAGTTTGAATGAATGTTGACAGGACGGAGAGCGTGGCTGAGAAGATGCTCAGCGCCTGGTTCACCTTTTTGCTGTACAAGTTCCTGAGGGAGTGCGCCGGCGAGCCGCTGTTCATGCTGTTCCGGGCTGTCAAGCAGCAGGTGGACAAAGGGCCGGTGGACGCGATCACCTCGGAGGCGAGGTACTCGCTCAGCGAGGAGAAGCTCATCAGACAGTCGATCGATTTCAAGCCGATGGTGAGTGGAAGATGTGCATGATATAGTTGAATTTTATTGGGTCAAATACAATACGTTTATTTTCCTTTTGACATATTTACATGTATAGGAATCGTGAGATTGAAGACTTCAAACTAGACAGTTTGAGACAGAGACATGAGATAAAATGATAATATTTCGATATTACAGAGACAGAAACTAAAAGACTAGGGTGCCGAAAAATATTCTTCTAAAGTATAGGGAGTCATTTTCAGTTGGAATAGCTTCAAGTTCGTTTTGGAATGACTGAGTTTTTTGAAGTTTTTCAATCGACTGGGAAGTTGCCATTTATGCCGATTTCTAGGAATGTTAACTCATCAACATTAGCCAGCAGATTACCATGCACAGATATATCCATATTCGAGCAACGTTTTTGCCGATGATAAAATCTCATTACGTTAGTTTTTTTTTTACATTGAAGAGAAGCGAGTTAACACTACACCAAGAGATCACTATATCCATAACGTTGTGGCAGTGTTCCGATAGATTATTATCATTTTTGTCTGATATGAGTCCTCACTTGCTCATTAAGATTTTTGGAAAATCGCCACGAAAGTAATGAGAGGGATGAGTTCACTGTTCAAGAATTATTAATGTCAAAAAACGTAAAGAACTTGTCAATGCCCAATAAACAGGGAAGAAGTTTCACTAATTATTGTTTGTCATAATATTTGTGCAATAAAAATTGATGTTGACCGCCTGTATATACGAATATCAAGTTACTGCATTGGTATGTTTCTTTTTTTTTTAGACCGTCTATGTTTCGATTTCTCAACAACCAATTTTCGGAGGAGGTATCGACCACAACACAGACAATGTTCCGGTGAAGGTTTTGGATTGTGATACGATCAGTCAGGTGAAAGAGAAATCCCTGGACACCATATACAGGGCCACGCCTTACTCTCAAAGACCAAGGAAGGACGATTTGGATCTGGGTAACTAGTTTTATCAATTTTCTACCAAAAGGCACTGCGAGAAATGTTTCTTTTGGCCTCCAGTTGCCACTTGTGTTGATGATTATCTGGAAATTCGGTTAGAAAGCATATACGGATTATGGAAATTCGACCACTGCAACACCAGTGTTGATTAGTGTGATGCAAGTTGCATGAATCATTTCCGTGTTGTATTTTCATTTGAATGCGGATGAATGTTGCGTGAAACCGTAAATTTGATGTAAACAAAGTGATGTTATGTAACGATTCAGGTAAATAAATACTCATTGAAGTTCAGCGATGTCTGAATCATTTATAATCTCTTAACCAATGATTTGCACAAGTAGTAAGGTTATCATTCATATATTAATAAAAATATAATAGCAAATTTGATGGTTTGATGAACAAAGTCTTTGAGAAGTTATTTCAGCTATAATTTCCAATAAACAAATCAGTTTTCGATTGACATTTGACATTTACACAATATGATAGGCATTACTCTTGACTAATCCACCTGATATGATCCATAGACCTATTCCTCCAAGACGCAAAATTAATTTTGCTGCAATGATTCCTAGAGGATAACAAAGAATAACCATTTGGTCTTCTTTGTCAATGAGGTATACTCACTACGTATTGGCAACGCTATGATGTATTTCTTTATATGTTTCCATTTCGTTCATGTTCCTAATATATCTGAGAATATTCCTTTTTGATAAATGAGGACCTACTACTCGAACTGTCCTTGTGAACTGCCTAGTTTGTCTCACATTTGGCACTGACTAATGATTTCATACTGAATGTCGCAAATAATTGATCAACACAATGAAAAATAATATAAACTATCCCTTAAAACTACAATGCAATTTTGTGGCAACACCGCAACTGCTGCAAAAAATGCGGAAGCAGTCAAATTGCATAGTATCGCCGCACGAATTCATTTATACAAAGATACAAGATTATGTCAATAGGTACAAAACTATTTCCATATCGTCGAATCAAACGGAAATGCATTTCAGTCGGTCATACTACTAACTTACAGTGGAATAGAATTCGGCAAGCTTTCTCAGAATGATGAGTGATATCACCTCATAATACTGCCCTGCTAAGCTGACAATTAGTTAGAAGCTGTTTCATATAGGTAGTACTGATTTCTAACTATTAACCAAGCAAGAACACCGTAAAATGACTCTAATAGTACATTGTTTCATTAGGTTCAAATGTGACACTTTTGATTAGCGATATTTGTGTCTGCGAGGCGGCACGACCGCGAAGCCGAGCACGCAATGCTAATCAACGTGATATTTTTTCTGCAATCGAAATAATTGATATCTAATTAATAAAATATAAGTGAAAATACCACTATTTTGAGTCACTTGAGCATGTCAGTGTCAAAGCAGCTTTCATATCAGCTGTTATTTATTTATTTATTTATTTATTTATTTATTGAAATCATATAGGATAACAACAGGCATAACCCAAGGTGTTATCCACGGATACAATAGAGCGTACAGAAGTGTAACTTATATATATATATATATATATATATATATATTACATTTTTAGCTTAAACTAATACTAATCTATGAAATATTTTAATGATGTCAACTGTAAAGTTCAGTATTTTTCTTTTATCTTAGATTTGAATACATGTAATGTATGATTGAATAAATCAATATCATCGAACTTATCGTTGTAAAGTGTTACCATTCTATGTAGGGGAGAGTTTTTTCCTAAGTTTGTTTTACAGAGCTTTTCAGAGAAGAGACGGTAATTTCTCAAAGAACGAGAAGGAACATTGAGAGGTATATTTAACAAAATTTCAGGGGCATCGACCAAGTCATTCACAATTTTAAATAAAAATATTATGTCGGATTGCTCTCGGCGAGCCTCTAGTGTGGGCATACGAAATTTGTTTCTTAGGAAGGCTGTACCCGTTGTTATATTGTATTCCCCACTAATTCTGTATTCGAGATATCTTAAGAATTTATTTTGTATGATCTCCAATCTAGTTTTGTATATAGAGTATTGAGGATGCCAGATGATATTTGCAAAATTTAGTTTACTATGAACAAAGGAGTAGAATAAGGTTTTCATGGCATGAATGGATGTGAAGTTTTTACAATGTCTAAGAATAAATCCTAATGTTCTGTTACATTTAGATACAACGTAGTCAATATGCGTTGAGAACGAGAGTTTTTTGTCCAGTACAACACCTAGGTCTTTTATTTCGTTAACCTCTTTAAGGGCACTATTACCAAAGTGGTAATCGTATGAAAATATCTTGTGGTTTCGAGTGAATGTGATGAAGCAGCATTTATCTAAGTTCAAATGGAGCTTATTAATTTGACAGAAGTCAAAAAATCTGTTCAAATCATTTTGGATAAGGGAACAATCAGTTATACTATTTACTTGAGAGAATATTTTGAGATCGTCCGCATATAGTATGTAATTACAGAATTGAAAGCAAGACTTAATGTCGTTTAAATATACAATAAAAAGAAGAGGTCCCAAATGTGAGCCCTGGGGTACTCCCGATGTTACAATGTATGGGGCCGATTGATGTCCATTAACTGTAACGATTTGTGTCCTATTATAGATGTATGAGGCGAACCAGCGAAGCAGGTCCCCGTGCACACCGACTTCAGTTAATTTGGATATCAAAATATTGTGGTTTATTTTGTCGAATGCTTTACTGAAATCGGTGTACACGGAGTCCACTTGAGTCTGGCAGTCCATTGCGTTCGTCAAATGTTCTGTATATATTACTAAATTTGTCTCTAGGGATCTCTTTGGAAAGAATCCATGCTGTTCCTCAATAATATATCCTTTTATGGAAGTCATAAGTGAATCATGAACTATAAGTTCATGAACCTTACTCAGAATGTTCAACTTGCAGATCGGACGGTAGTTAGCAACGTTGTTTCTATTACCATTTTTAAAAATAGGTACTACATAAGCAGCTTTCCATCTCTCTGGGAACGTGCATTCCTCGAAAGATTTATTAATGATTATTGTTAACGGCACACAGATACTTGGTGCACATTTTTTTATGAAAAATGATGGTAATCCGTCTGGGCCGTTGCCTTTGTTTTCATCTAATGCTGAAAGAGTGTTTTTGATTTGTTCTACGGACACTGTTATTTTACTTATCGAGCAGGTATTATTTATTGTGTGTGAGTACATTGTTTGTTCGTAAGGCTGAAAGACACTTTTGAAAAATTTTGAAAAGAGCTTGCAAACATCTGCTCCATCTGCTAATTCATCACCTAATTTCATATCATTAGGAATGTTATTATTTTGGTTAGTTTTGGAAACAAAGTACCAGAATTTTTTAGAATTATTCGGTATGTCGTTTTGTACGGAGTTCGCGAAGTTTTTGAAGTCATTTCGAATCATTTGCTTGGATCTATTCCGCAATTGACAGAAGAGTCGGTAATCAAACTGGGAACAAGACTTTTTATATTTTTTGTGAGCTTTAGATTTTTCGATAATAATTTTTATGGTGTTTTGGGTGAAATATACTGGAAACTGATTGAAAATTCTTTTTTTCGGCACGAAGATATCTATTATCTGATATATTTCTTTGTAAAAAACATCCAAACAATTATTCACGTCATCACAATTTCCAAGAATATCCACCCAATTAATATTTGAAATTTCCGTATTTATAGAATTATAGTCTCCTTTCCTGAAATTTTTAGTAAACTTGGAGTTCGACTGCAGAGTTTTTAGAATAGAAAAAGCGAGGCTGAATTCAATACTTCTGTGATGTAAATCCTCCTTCACTAGAGGCTCGCCGGGTTTGAGATTTCTTACAATAAGTTGGTTACATAGGACAAGATCGAGGATTTTGTCATTACTATTCTTCAGAGAGTTGAATTGTTTCAGTCCATAAAAATCAAGAATATCAATCAAATTAGTGAACTTTGTATCTACAAATGATGGAATCAGAATTGAACAATTTTGTTTGAAATTCCATGAAGTGTTCGACATATTGAAATCACCACAGATAAGGAGAGCATCATCTGATATTATGTTGAAAAGTCTGTGAAGATTATTAGTGAAGTATGCTAGTGCTTCATCATCTCCGGGGGGTAAGTAAACGCAGCATAGATGGATTTTACCTTTTTTCGGCGTATACAAAGTTAACCACAGATCCTCAGCATCGCTCTGCCATTCGGGACGTTCAACAACTTGTATTTCTCTTCGTGAGGCTATTAGAACTCCTCCACCATCACTCTTTGCGCTTTTTGTACTTTCGCGATCTCTTCGATACACTGAAAATTCATCACCGAAAAATAACTCACTATTCAGCACACCATTATTCAACCATGTCTCTGTTAAAAATATCACGTCGTGGTCACAATTATGGATATTTAGTTTGAATTCAGTAGTTTTAGAACGCAAGCCCCTTACGTTCTGAACAAAACATGTTAAATTCGCGAAAATGTCCTGATTGAGTATACGATGGGTGTTGATTTTTATGCTGTGATCAGGCGGATGTCAGGTCATCTTCATTCTCGATTCGTTTGACGTGAGAGCCCTCATCTTTGCGAATCAGAATATTGCCATTTTTCACCCATACATATTTGAAATTTTTGGCTTTCGCAAAGTCTCTCGTTTTTTTGTAGAGCGTTTTGTTTTCCGGTGATAAGTGTTCGGAGATGTATAAGTCTTTGGAAACGCCTTCGATACTCAACAAACGATTTGGAGATGACATCTTCTTAATTTTTGTCGCAGCTAAGATATCGTCTTTCACTTTCCGGGAGATATATTTGATCACAATATTTTTCGGCCTATTGGGAGCGAAGGATTTCACTCTATGGGCCGAATCTATTAGATCTGGTGAAAATTGGACATTCAAGTTCTGATGTACTGTCTCAATGATTTTAAAAATATCTTCATTCTTTTTTTCTGGCACTCCTTGTATCTCAATATTGTTCATGCGAGATATTTGCTCGAGGTCGTTTACTCTCTTATTAAGGGTTCGAACATGTCTCATTAAGTTCTGGTTCTCTAGTTTCAAGTTTTCGATGATTTTTATATGTTCGTTGACTTTTTGGAGGGATGTTTCGAAATCTGTTATTTTATCAGAGCAGAAACTTATAGATTGGACGAGATCATCCTGCTTTTCACGAAACACTTTCATTTCTCCTTTAATATCCAGCATACATTTCAGAATTTTATCCTGCAGTTTTGGATCCCCTGTAGTGTCAGTGATATCATCATTTCGGAAGGTTGATAGGTCTGCTTGTTTGGTTACACTCATCTCTTTTTTGCAAGTAGAGCAAATCCAAACAGCGTTATGGCATTCTTTGATAAAAGTCAATTGGTCTGCTGCGAGGCCTACACACTTGCCGTGATAAGAACTGCCACAAAAACTCTGGCATTGGAGACCCGGCGACTTTTTTGTTATCGGCGTTGTACATGCTGTGCATATACCGGACATTCTGCTAATTGCACAGCAATCAAAGGAATAAATTACTTATTAATTTTATGAAACACTTCACTGACTTATACTTTGTGTTTTGTATAAAAGAAAAACTACGATAATTTATCCGATTTAAATCACTTGAATTCGATTTTCGAACGAGAAGCTCGGAATACGATCCGTACGCTACGAGCGACTATACTATACTGTGACACTTTATTGGTTCCTAGGAGTTGAACTTTAGCACACTAGAAGTGTTGCCTAGCAACATATATACACTCATTCTTTTAATGTGTCAGTAAGAGAACGTCAACTTCAGGAGCTAATTTTGGAACAAAAAAGGACGACTTTTGAGCCGATTGCAGAAAAATAGTGATTTTTGATAATTTTCAAGACCTAAATTTTTTAATATCATTGGCCGAAGTAAGCAGGAACACAGTGAATTGGCGTTGCTTAGTTGAAACATCGCAAAATGAATAATATCCTTCGAACTACTTGCCGTGTTTTTGATTATCTGCTTTTGGGTTTAAGCATTGCCTATCTCGGTTCGACAATTTTTGCATTCACGGGAGTTTTTCTTATCAGGACAGAATATTGTTTACTAAATTGTTAATATATTTCATGAACCAATGATGATTTTCCCGTGACGAAATATTTTCGAGTTTCGAATGTTTTATCACTTCTGAGTGGATCCGTCTAACATTCCCTCCACTCATCGATGTTCCCCAAATTCCGGATCCCCTTCTTTGATGCGCTGTTCTCTGGTGTTCCAGAATGGCGTACAGGCACGTCGGGCAGACTGATCCTCTACGACGAGGACAGCACCACGAAGGTAGAGGGCGACTGGAAGAGGCGCAACACCCTGCAACACTACCGAGTACCTGACGGCGGATGCCTCAACCTCGTCTCCAAGCAGAGCTCCATCTACAACCTGAGCATCTTCTCCGAGAAGAACGACAAGTCGCACAAGTACGAAACGCTGAACCTGAGCAAGTTCAGCTCGGTGAGCCCGCCTCTCAGCAGGGCGACGAGCCCCCTCAACCACGACCACGACCAGGTAATTTTTGTAGATGTTTGTGACAAGTCATAGTGTAGGTTGAACTTGCAATGAAACTCTTTGTGTGGTCGAATTTACTGGCCTCGAAATAAGCACGGAGTTGATTCGAATGGATTTATTAAACCAACAACACCCAGTATGACAAAAATGGCACGCCTCGTAGCACAACTACAAAAACGCAGTTCTGAAATAGTACTTACACGAAATATAATATTTCGTTACCTACCTACAAAAACGCAGGCACAGGTGAGAATTATTTCAAGTATTGAAATAATTTCCCTTGGAAACCAAAAGCCGTTTTAATAATTGTGTTGGCCACTTTGGTTCAATAACATATAATGTCACATTCATCCGCTCTAGATGAGTTGGATTCAGAAGTGAAGAGAATTGTCGGATAGCATATAAAAAGCTCAGTGTTTTTGCGGAGCCCGCGTTTTTGCGAGTCGTTCGCGTACCTATGAACTTTACTGGCAATTTTGGTACCATAGCGCATACAGGGTGTTCTAAACAAACCAGACGAACATTTACAGTTAACTAATTTATTACAACAGTGAACGATAAATAAATGGAGAGCTAGGGGTTTTGCTACATCCCGCCTCCCCTTCCGTTGAGTCCTTAAGTGTCTGTGTAGAGACAATTTGGGCTCACGTATTCGGCATTCCCACATGATAGGTTTTCAGGTGGCTGGCGTGGAAAACACCCCGTTCCACGCTCCTAAGATTCTTCTTATCTTGTCTGTCGGTGTAGCACAAGACGTAGGTATCTTGAGATAATCTCTTTTTTACCCGATATGGGCCTTCGAAAAGAAGCAACAACTTTTTCGTTTCCGATTTTATGGAAGACGAAATATTGTTTGCTTTCAGCAGTACCAGGTCGTTTGGCTGAAATTTAACATAAGGGCGGCCAGGGTGTGAAATTGCTCGCCGCGCCGCTTTCGACTTCAAGGTTGCTTCTGCTAACACTAATTTTTGTTGGTGTGATAGCTCAGTTGGATTTTCTCCGCCATAAATCACTTCTGGGGGTAATAGCCTATTTGGGGCCACGCCATACTCGAGTTCTATAGGAGAAAAACCTGTTGATTCATGGGTGACTGTGTTTAGGAATTCCTGGAACATCGGGATATGGCATGCCCATTTGGCATGCTGCTCGTGGCAGTAAGTACGCAAAATTCTCCCAATCTCACGCATGCAGCGTTCGGAAGGGTTGGCCATAGCATGGCGTACCGAAATATGCACTAGTTTCACGCCCATTTCCGAAAACGTACTTTTCCAAAGTTTGGAACAAAATTGTGTCGCGTTGTCGTGGAGGATGCGCTTTGGTATCGTATGGGTGGTGAAATAATCTTTCACTAAACGATTAATCATGGCCGTAGATGTGGCTTTTTTGAGGGGGTATAACGTTACGTATTTTGTAAAAACGTTATAAATAACAAAAATGTACATCACCCCTCCCCGACTACGAACTAGTGGACCGAGGACGTCCATCGCGAGTAGGTCGTCTTTAGACTCTGGAATTACCTGAAGTTGAGGTGGATTCGGTAGAGGTGAGATTTTTGATTTTTGACATACGTCACAAGTTTTGATAATTTTTTTCACGAGCCTCTGCATATTTCGAAAATACACTTCGTCTCTCAACGCCACCCAAATTTTGTATATTCCAAAATGACCTAGGGTGGTGTGAGCTCCCATAACTAATTCGGGGATTAAACATTTTGGGATGTACAAAAGGTACCGATGTGAATTATCACCCCGTTTATATAAAATGTTTTTATGAATCACAAACTTTTCTCTGAGCGGTACGTTGGATTCCAAATCAAGTATGATACGCGCACACTCGGCATCCTGAAGCTGCAGCTGTGCGATATCTTTCAGGCTACCCTGTATATTCGGTGGGAGCGCTAAGCTGAAAATATTGAAACATTTGTCCCCTGGGGTTGGCATCCTAATACAAGCGTGGCGGGACAACGCGTCAACTTGATAATTATCCTTTCCTGCCAGATGTACGATAGAAAACCGAAATTCCTGTAGTGAGAGTGCCCACCTAGTTATTCGGGGACTCAATAACCGACAGGAGTTGAGGTAGGTCAGTGTGCGACTATCAGTATGCAGCGTAAACTCATTCGCCAGCAGATAAATTTTCCATCTCCGGATACACCAGACTGCTGCTAAGGCTTCTTTTTCATTCGAACTATAACGTCTCTCCCTATCGATCAGAAGACGGCTGGCCCATGCAACGACCCTTTTTTTCCCTTCGACAATTTGAAATAGCTGACCAGCTATGCCCACATCGCTTGCGTCCGTTGCTACATGCCAAGGGAGCGCTGGATCTGGGTGAAACAACAACGTATCCTGCGCCAATTCGCTTTTGAGCTTTTGAAAGGCATCATCTTGTGCTTCACCCCATTTCCACCTAGAAGTTTTCCTCAGTAGTAACGTCAGCGGTTCAGACAAGTCAGCAAAACGAGGCGAAAAAGCGCGATCATAATTGCAAAGACCTAAAAATTTTTGCAGTTCCTTCACACTACCGGGACGCTGGTAATCCTTGATGGCCTGCACTCGGCTTGGATCCGGACGTACTCCTTGCGGACTCACTACATATCCTAGAAAATGCATTTCTTCCTGGAAAAACCTACATTTATCCAGCTTTACTGTCAGACCTGCTTCCCTGAGCCTAGTCAAAACCTTACCTAAATGCAACAAATGCTCCTCTAAGGATGACGACATCACCAACAGATCATCGATGTATGTTAAGAGAAAATCATTGAATTCTTCCCCGAAAATGACTCTCATGGCCCTAGAAAACGCTGCCACTGCCGTCGAAATTCCGAATGGCATCATCCGGAACTGGTAGGTTTTTTCCCCTACCATGAAACCTGTAAACCTACGATCACTTTCTCTGATAGGGAGCTGCCAATACGAGTGCGACAGATCTATTTTCGATAGAAATTTCTTCCCATTGAGGGACTGAATAATATTTTCAATTCTCAGAGGTAGCTCATAATCGGGCTCGATGACCGAGTTTAAATGTCGCGCATCAAGACAAACACGAACAGTACCATCTTTTTTTATTGTTGTCATTATGGGCGAAATATACGGGGTCGAGGAGCGCTCGATAACCCCCCACTGTTCCATTTGGGCTAGTGTTTTCTTGACCGCATCTCGGTGAGCCACAGGAATCGGGTATGGACGTATAAAAAATTCTTTACTGTTTTTCAACTTAATCTCTAGTTCGTACCAATCAGTACGGCCTGGAGTGTCCGAAAACACGTCCCTGTATTTATTCAACAAACACGCGAATTTTTTTCTTTCGACCTCTGTAATGTTACAGTGCGATATTGTTTGGTTAAAATTCGTTACATCGTTTTCTACGCGAGTTTGTAATTTATTTGGAAAAGTATTATTTACAATGGCTGATATACATGGCGCAGCCGCATTTCCATATTCATGAACGAACTCTTTTTCGGGAATTGTCGTTAAGTTATTATCAAGAATGAGCTTTAAGTTTTTATTTTTAAGGTCTAAAACGGCCTCATGCGCCCTTAGAAAATCAACCCCTATTATTACAGGATATGAGAGTTCCGAGATGACCAAAAACTCATGGCAGAATATTTTATTTTCACAACTAAAGACGAGTGAGTCTTGATAAAGGACTTTTTTGAATTTTGATTTGAAGGCTCCCACTACCCGTGTACCTGGGCAAGGGAAATGGGGAATATTTTTTTTATTTTCCAAAATTTGTTCCCATACTATTTGAGAAATAACCGAAACATTGCTACCTGTGTCAACCATCGCAGGAAACTCGACATTAAATAAATTTATTAGGATTATTGGCGATCGTGTGTCTATTGAACTGTGTTCAAAGTCACACTCTTCTAGTAAATCTTCGGAGGGATTATTTTTTACATGTATGGCTCTACCAAGTATTGCTCCCACATTGCAGCCTACATGTGGGAGTTCTCCCCGTTTTCCGGAAAAGTCATTTCCTCGGGGCATATGTCAAGGCTAGAAATATTTTTTCTTTGAAAATCTCTATTAGATTTGAAACTAGGTTTTTGTGACTCTCCCCTGGAATGATTTGTATCATTGTTTCTTTGGTAATGGGATGAAAAAGTGTTTGAGTTCCTTTTATTCTCATTATTAAAATAGTAGTCGGCTTGTCGGAGCCGTTCTACCGCTGACATCAGAGAGTTCGTTCCTACCAGAACCGCAGCGATATTTGGGGGGAAGTGGCGCGCTATTGTTGCGATTAGGTGTTCATCGCTAAATGGGGGTTCTAAATGTTTGGCCATGACAACGTGTCTATTGAAATAATCGACAAAACTCCCATCGTAATCTCTGTACCTTGCCGACTCTAATTTTAATTTGATTCTCATCTGTTTGTTGCTCCCCCAAAACTGCTCTAAAAATGCTTTACGGAACTCAGAGTAATTTTGAAAACCGTGACTATATGCATCAAACCAAAGTTTCGCCGAATTCACAAAGTGATTGCTAATCATCAAAGAAAGTTGATTGAAATTTACGTTGTTTGTATCAATGAATGTCTCTATGTAGTTTAGGAATTCTACAGGGTGGAGTTGGCCCTCGTTATCGTAGGTAGGCAGCGATTTACAGGCTTCTAATTCCCTGACAATACACAAACCATTGTTCCTATTATTTGGCAAATTTACGAAATTCTGGATTCCTGTTTGCATATCGTTTACTGGCAAATTACTTCTGCATACACTTGGGTTATTGCCCCCCAGGGAATAATTCGAGTTTGGTTGAGTACCGTTTGAAACGTAGGCACCTATATTATTATGGTTTGCGTTCTGCGAAGAAAAGTTTCGATTTGTGTTTGAACAACTGTTATTAGTGTTTGGGATCCCGAAAAAAGTACGTCCCGTTTGGTCTGAAAAATTAGAGGGTGCAAAGTTTTGCCTATGGTTATTATTTACATTATATACAGGTGGAAAAACCAACGGTGCTTGTGTACTTGCTGATGAACTAGTACTCGTATAAGTTGTTTTTGGCAAAGCAACATTTTCTTGATTTGGATAATACCGGAGGTTATTCGAGTTTTGTACTCGAGGATAAGGTGAACAATTGTCATTATTGTTATTATTCAACACCGGAGCCTGCTGAAAATTTAAATTTTGCCTTGAATTATCTGCAAACAGGGGTCGAAAATTTCTATTCCTATCATTGGTATCTGTATGACGACTTTCTATAAAATTTCTACAGGTTTCTTCATTTGCAAAACTTGACACATTTGGGATATTATTTTCACATTGATTCATATGTAAATTATTTAAATTATCAGTCAGTGATGAAACATGCTTTGCCTGATGAGTCACTGGTGGCGGTAAGTCTTGAGAAAAAGCTAAAGAAGTTGCCCCTAATAACGAATTATCTTGCTCTTTTGAAGTTGAACTCTGAGAAGTGGTTGAACCCGGGACTTCCATCATTGGAGGAAAATTAATTGGTACGTTATTACCTTGCTTTTCGGTGTGAGCATCAGTTTGGTACTGCTGCTGAGGTGTTTCACTTCTACTACCTTGGACTTCCTGGTTTATTCCTCGTCTGTTCCTCAAGTTATACTGTGGACTTTTTTCAACAACCATTTTATTCGAAACCAGGCCCAGTTGGTCGCCAGATGCAATGAAACTCTTTGTGTGGTCGAATTTACTGGCCTCGAAATAAGCACGGAGTTGATTCGAATGGATTTATTAAACCAACAACACCCAGTATGACAAAAATGGCACGCCTCGTAGCACAACTACAAAAACGCAGTTCTGAAATAGTACTTACACGAAATATAATATTTCGTTACCTACCTACAAAAACGCAGGCACAGGTGAGAATTATTTCAAGTATTGAAATAATTTCCCTTGGAAACCAAAAGCCGTTTTAATAATTGTGTTGGCCACTTTGGTTCAATAACATATAATGTCACATTCATCCGCTCTAGATGAGTTGGATTCAGAAGTGAAGAGAATTGTCGGATAGCATATAAAAAGCTCAGTGTTTTTGCGGAGCCCGCGTTTTTGCGAGTCGTTCGCGTACCTATGAACTTTACTGGCAATTTTGGTACCATAGCGCATACAGGGTGTTCTAAACAAACCAGACGAACATTTACAGTTAACTAATTTATTACAACAGTGAACGATAAATAAATGGAGAGCTAGGGGTTTTGCTACAAACTGAATGATAATAGTTGCGTTTTATTTGTTCCCTTCTGGTATCGGTGGTAGGAACAGACTGACGTTTACAAATAAAACGAGAAACTTCAGGACCTTGCATGGGAGAATTCACATAAAAGGTTATATTTATATATTGGGGCTCCAAATGATTTCAAAATCATGATACAAGAGTTGAGAATCTAGAAATACGATCAACGAATATCTGGAGCATTGATTGTGGTGATTGGAGAAACTTCTCTGAGGCCGTGAGAATTAATTTTATCTGGGAATGAACATATGGAACCGGTCTTACTTGAAAGAATCATAAACTTGTGAACTTCACGATTAAAATGTCTGCTTAATGTCTTCAACTTTCAAAAAGTTTCGTATTTCGTCAATCTTATATAATTTTTCGACAACTGTCGATAGTCATTCAACGTCATTCCTAATAGTGAGACGGAATGAAGAGTAGCAACCGGAATAGGGAAAGTTGCAAATAAAACGACACATCATAGTGATTCCGTTGGCGCAATCGGATAAATAAAACGCTACTAATATTATTATATTGAATGGGCAGTAATACATTGTGTTACAGATTGAAATTTCAAGGATACAGATTCGTTACAGTATCAAAACGAAATATTAAAAATTCAACTCAAAAATTTAACTTTCACACGAAGACAAATATTTATATAGTCTTAATTGGACCGATCGTCATGCACCTCACTGTATCAGGAAGGACATTCTGAAGGTTATAATTGAGAGAGTTTTTTTTGCTGACATCAAGTCTAAACCTTTGAGGTCTGACTATTGATGCATTACGGGTAAAATGACAGTGGATATCTGACTGCAGACAGAGAGCATCTTTTTGACTATGGATTTATAGAATATAACTATAGCTGACCCGGCAAAAGTTGTTTTGCCATATACATTATTCCTAGAAAATATTTGAGCTAAATATTTATCAACACTCTTTTAATATTACTAATATTATCTACTTTCTTATAGTTTAGCTATCTATGAAAGTGTGTTTCTTTAGTTTTTTTACTACATATTACAATGCTCATCGTTCGTCATATTTCCAATTCTGACAAAAAATCCCCGACACCAAAAACCCTCAGATACCAATTTTGTTCGGATCATAATCACAAAACTCGTCCGCCATATTGGAACCATCATCTTGAACTCCCAAATTTTGATGAAAGAATCATAATATTGATCCCTGAAAACATCCAGATACCAATTTTGAATAGAATCGGTTCCTAACTACAAAATCGTCCGCTTTCTTGAATTTAGTGATTTTGACAAAGGAATCATAATCTCCGACCTCGAATACCCCCAGATACCAATTTTGAATGGAATCGGAGCATAATCACAAAACTCTTCCGCCATAATGAATCTGCCATCACGAATTTCCAAATTTTGACGAAACTTCGATCCCGAACCCCCCCCCCCCGATACCAATTTTGATTTAAATTGGACCATAATTACAAAACTCGTCTGCCATATTGGATCTGCCCTATTGAAATTCCAAATTTTGGCAAAAATCTCCGACCCTGAAAACTTCCAGATACCAATTTTGTATAGAATTGGTTCGTTATTACAAAACTCGTCCGCTTTATTGAACCCTCCATCTTGAATTTCCTGATTTTAAGGAAGAAATCATTATCTCCGACACCGAAAACCCCCAAATTTTTAATGAAATCGGACCTTAATTGGAACCGCTATATTGAATTTCCAAATTTCGACGAAGGAATCAGAATCTTCGACCCTGAAAAGCCTCAGATACCAATTTTGAATAGAAGCGGATCATAATTACAAAACTGGTCCACCATATTGGATCCGCCATCTTGAATTACTATTTTTAGATTAAGTATTCTTGAATTTTCTAGCTTCCGCGCAATTTAATTATTTTTTCTTCCATAAGAACCTTCTCCTGAGAATAACAAATACAACAAAAAAAGAATTAGTGAAATCGGTCCAGCCCTTCACGCGTGATGGTGTGAGCAAGGCAAATAGAGATTCATTTTTATACAGATAGATAGATAGGTTATGACGACACGAAACTGGGATTATCAGGACTCCTTGTGTTATAATACTTGTTTACTGTGACGTTTTAATTTCATACAATGTGTCATGTATCTTGTAGTATAAACATAATTTTATTCTCTCTCAGGGCCTGAAAGTGTGGCACCTCGTCAAGCACCACGACAACGACAACCAAAAGGAGGGCGAGAGAGGTAACAAGATGGTGTCGGAGATCTATCTGACGAGGCTGCTGGCCACCAAGGGCACTCTGCAGAAGTTCGTCGACGATTTGTTCGAGACCATTTTCAGTACGGCCCATCGGGGCTCCGCTCTGCCTCTGGCCATCAAGTACATGTTCGATTTCCTGGACGATCAGGCGCTGCAGCACGGCATCTCCGATCCGGAGGTGGTGCACACCTGGAAGAGCAACTCGTTGCCCCTCAGGTTCTGGGTGAACCTCATCAAGAACCCCAATTTCGTGTTCGACATACACAAGTCGAACATCGTCGATTCCTGTTTATCCGTGGTTGCTCAAACGTTTATGGATTCCTGTTCCACTTCTGACCATAGATTAGGTGAGAAATAACTATATTCGAATCGTGATTTGTTGAATGGGCATCAGTCAGGGAGAAAAAGTATAAATCATCAAGGGGTAACTCAAGATGTTGCATATCATCAAATGAATATTATTTGAGACAACTGTTTTTAGATTCATGTACTGTATTTTTTCTTACTGATGATACCCTTTAAACAAATTGAAATTTTTTTTCCGGGAATGAAAATCAATCCATAGATTAGTTTTTTTCTGTTTAATTTGGTGATACCAAAATATAATGTGTTTTTCAAACAATGAGTAATAATATTTAAAAATTTTCATTAAGAACTCAAAAAACATAAGTGAGTTAACTTGGCATTTTATTAATCTTGGATGTGATTGTTCCTTCCTCTGTATGGGCTTGATTTTTTTGGTTATTTACCCAGATTCTTCTAGAGGGTGAAGCTGCACGTGAATGCTTTTCATCCTGTGATGCATCACTTCCTTCCTGTGGTAACATGAAACATAATAGGGCTATGATTATTACAATTTCATATTTATAGAATTCAGATAGTCTGACACATTTGATTCAATCCTAACCTAAAAACCACAAGGAGTTTGGTGCCACGTGGCCGTCACAATTTTGTTAAAATGGTATGAGTCACTGATGGATGCCTTTATAACAAATTCCGAATTTTTCGCGCGCCCATAACAACCTTGTCAGGCGCTGTTTCAACAGAGAATCAAAATGGTTTGATACCATTCAACAGATTAGGATTCATTTGTTGTTTTCAAAGGCTTCTTGTTCTCGTGAGAATAAGTTATTTCACAAAAAACCACTGTATTTGTATTTATTAAACCCTTCTTACTATCGATACAATAGAATGAACGAGTCAGCACAATCGATCAGTAAGAACAGGTAATAATATTTTCACAATTGTAAAGGAACTAATGACCAGTTACAGTTAATTACACAAGAAGAAAAATAAGAATTAAATTACAGTGAAAACTCAACACTGGACAGAAAGTTATCAAATTCTTCCAAGTTATAAAAACATTTTTGTTTCAATATTTTCTTCCACCTACCTTTGAAATCTTCACAATTTGGACTAGCTTTTACATTATGGGGAAGCCTATGAAAGTATGAAGCTCCAGCCGCGAGAGGCAATCTTTATGAAACGTGTGTTTTCAGGCGAATTATTTTTATTTCTGGTGTTATGACTGTGGACATCGCAATTCCTTATCAGTTTATTTCGTAACCGGTAAATATTCACAATTGCAGACGCGTGGAACGAAAGAACATCGAACATTGTCCAACGTGGTTTGTTCTTTCAGTCTCCCTGAGAACTGATTATAGTGCGTATAACCGATTTTATCAAAAATGATGCAAGTTTACAACAATGCACATTAGACCATTTGTCACCATAAATAATCAATTGTGAGCTCAGTTCAAAGGGCTTGTGATACGAGATATTTGAAAGGAAGATGATGGACTTGTATTACCTTCTTTTTGTGAAATGACTTATTATCATATGTTCTACGTCCTGTTGAAACGAATGCTTTACTTTTGAGAACACCCTATTCACCAAGGGTTATAAAATAATAGTCAAGCAGTATGAAGGTATTTTCTATTTGATGAGATGGTGTGCTCACTATTTTCGTTTTCTATTTCAGGAAAAGATTCTCCCAGTTCTAAACTTTTGTACGCTAAAGATATTCCTTGTTACAAAGAGTGGGTGGAGAGATATTATTCAGATATCAAGACGATGCCTGCCATATCAGACCAGGATATGAATGCCATGTTAGCAGAAGATTCTAGAGTAAGTTGATAAAACATCCACTTTCTGTATGATAAATATTTTCAAACAGTCTCAACATCAGGAGTACAATCACAGTTGACTCAAATTGCTGTGTGAAATAAAAGTTATTTAATCAGCTAGTGTATTAATGAGAGTGGTTGATGATCCAGATCATTGATCGCCTTATTGATTGCAAAATTTTCCGTCGACAATATTTCTCCCGCAATGAAGAAAACTTTGTTCGCCCGGAAACTACTAAACCAACAATCACACAGCACACAGTTACCCAGGAAATCAACTTATCATTAACATCATTGACATATGACCTTTGGCGAAATAATCAACATGTGAAATGGATTAATTGTTTTATAAAACAGGGATTAATCAGTTCAGAAACTTCGAAAGGCTGACCCGTTAACGTAAATTCTTAGATGAAATACATATTACCGATATAAATGCAGATTCCTTAAGTTATAGTGCCAACAGTGAATGGACGCGGTGTATGTTTGGTTGCCTATACTACAATTAGTACAATTATTCGATGATAGACAAATTCATCATTATTGGGGCTCATTAACCATCAATTTCGTAAACATTTGAACATACTCGTTGATAGGAGGTCGACGAAAAATGTAGAATAATGCATGCTGGCTGTGATTTGATATATGATTGGTGGGACTTTTATTAAAATTACATTTTAGTAACGAATGACATCTTGTCGATTCGTGGTGTTGGACATTATGTTTTCGATGTTCTTCCAGCTGCACACGACGGAGTTCAATACGAATTGTGCGCTGCACGAGCTCTACACGTACGCGATGAAATACAACGAGCAACTGACTGTTACCTTGGAAGAGGACGAATTCTCGCAGAAGCAACGATTGGCCTACAAGCTGGAGCAGGTGCACAACATAATGGCGGAGCAGGGCCAGCCGTGATACTGGCCCGACCTGACGTGCCCGTCTGCGCCCGCGTCTGCGCCTGCGCCCCTGTCGCCCATCGTCCCCTCGGCACCTCAGGAATTGGCCTGCTGATAAACGTTCCATGCCAAATATACATATCCATCTCGTCTCGTCTCGGACTATTTCTCTGTGTGTTACGAATTGCTGTTGTGCAATTACCTAATAATTGAATAATTGTTCAGTGTATGTGGGTGGGGCGTGCTCACTCAGGGACTTCGAAGTGCCTCTGGTAGATTGAGTGACGCGTGCTCTCGCTCCCCGAATCAGTGTACTATATTTTTATGATAACACTTTTAGATTTATGCTTTGCCGTGCTGGAATGGAAAGTTCAGCGTTAGTCCATATTGTCGTCGATATTCACCGAAATATCCACTCTAACAATGCTTTTTTGATATTTGTAATATGATCGTACCTTTATACAGTTTAATATTTTTGTATTTAGTTGAATGCAATCATGATGATTGTCTTCCGCAATGAAGGAAGCACCAGGGTGTAGTATTTAATTGCGACCTTTCAATCAATCGATGTGTTTCAAATAAATTTCTTCATTACATATTAAGCACGGGGTTGTATCAATGTGGTTTGTGTACGTGTAATAAGGCTGTGTACATTTCTCTTGTTTGTTTGTTTGTTTGATTGTTTGATTGTTCGTCATTTGTAACCAAACCAGGGATTTATTCAGTTATGCATCCTCCTGCAGCTCTCTTTGTTCAAAAGAAGTCATTAATTATTCAAAGAAAAACAACAACAAACACCGACTATACCAACAGCTGAAGAAAGAAAGTTAGGAGTGTACATTCCTTTCTAATTTTTCCATCCTCTTTACAAGAGATTTATTTATTGATGTAGCTGATGATGGTCATAACCCAATCGACCGATTTGATGTTTGTTGTTGACTCTTTTTGAATGGTCGCCGTTTGCCACATTTTATCAGGGCTAGATTGACTACGTTCTCAATGCCTCCCCTATTCATATATTTTCCATTTAAAGCTGTCCTATTTATCTACTCTATTGTTTTTGTATGTACCTTCGTTATGTGCAATTTACAAGTCGTCATCCTTATTTTAAGCTCTCCTCATATATAGATACCCAATTTGTGCTGAATGTTCCACTGCCTTGTATGTTTTTAATATAGAAATGACATTTCAATATCAGATTCCATACCAGGTTTTTTTAACAGAATATTCTAGTCTTCAATATTTGAAATGTTGTTTGGATTTTCATCATAAATCTGATACATTCCTGATTAGTGAGAATTATGATATTTTAACTAGTTATGAGTGAAACATTCAGTAGTTTTGTATAATTGTTATTTTAACCATTTTATTGAAAATAATTTTAAACAACATATTTTGAATAGACTTTATTTTGAGAATGGATTCATGTTTGAATGTTTCAAGATTAATTTGTAACTCTGCCAAGTTCCTATACGGATTTTTCATCACTTTCTGTTTCTTCTACCCAGTCTGAGTACTGTTTTACTGAGTTTTTATAATTATCTTATTGACCCTTGCCTTAATGAGCACCATCACGATCCATATAACATAATTTGTGAAATATAGTTACCTATCATCTCCGAAATAATAGGCACAAGAATTAATTATGATTACAAACAACAAATTTCTAGATATTGAGAATACCAAATGGGAACAAAAGTTTGTAATATATTTTTATTGGGAAAAGAAGAAGGGAAAAATCTTATCCGCATAAGTGTACACCTATTCAAATTCGAAGATTCTGTTTGTTTTTTTTTTTTCATAAACCGAAATCGTTCATAAATTTACTGACCTGTTATAATAAATACTCTTTCTACTTGGTATTAATATGCTGTTTCCAAAATAGTCATAGCTAATACTTACTCCAACAACTTGTTTTAAACAACATGATATGTGAATTTTTCCTTCTTCTTTGGAAGCCATTTGAGTTTCAATACGAATTGCCACCGTCCTGGAAATTGGAAATCAATGTATCCTCAAAGAAGCTTTTCTCTGACATGTGCGCGTAACAGGTTTTCGAATTATCGGTATTTTTTTTTCTAATTCGAATCTCAAAATATCTGTCTTTATTTATGATTGTTTTTAAATTTTGTATATAAAATTTTATGCCAAAAATGCTTCTGGACAATTGCATAGGAAGATTTGTAAATAATAAATGTGTGCATATGTGTGTACAGATGAATGCATTATCGTTTGTATGTGTGTATGCATGATACATATTTATAGTAATGTGTGTACATTCGATTGCATCTGCAATAATATGGATGGTAATGTACTACTATATGTTATTATAAAAGACTGAATGGAGTTACTAAAATACTTAATAGAAAAAAATCATCTTGAAAGAGTGTTTTATTTCAATCACGACCTCTCGGAAGATTATTGACTATATCTCGGAAACCAAAAGAGATAAAAAGAAATGGACTTCAAATGCTTGTTCAGAACATCGAGAACACCCTGTATTCAAGCTTTCAGCCTATTCTGATCAACTTCGTCATAGAGCCTGCAAATTCGATATTTAGGATCCTTTAGGGATGCCCTTGTGCAGAGTGAAAGCATAATATCCTTACATATAGAAAGAAATCGATTTTTGACCCCCTTTCGGTCTGAATTTCTTTGCTACCCACATGGCTGAAATGCAAAATCGAGTTGATGGAAGTGATTTGCAGACGAATTCGTGTGTCGAGACGATTTCTGCGATTCTGAAGGACATTTTTGTTTTCTCAAAAATGCCTATATCTTGAAAACTAATAAAGATAAGTAAAGATCGACTTTATTTTCGTGTTCAGCACGTCGAAAACATCCTGTATACAAGTTTTGAGCTCATTCTGAGGCATCGAAATATATGAAAAATTTTCGAAGGGGTTAACCTTCTTTCATTTTCAGACCCAAAAATCAACTTTATCATAGAGCCTTCGGATTCGGTATTTAAGACCCTTTAAGGATGCCCTATTGCGGAGTAAAATCACAGCTCTATATTCTCAAATTTGGAAAAAAATCGATTTTTGTCCCCTTTCGGGCAAAATACATATAAATGCCCATGAAATACCCATTTTTATTTCTGCTCTCCTGATACATGAACCTAAAATATTGCCTTTTGAAACCGGTCTGCATATTCGATAGACAACTCAATACCTCTTCTCATTTCTGCTCTCCTAATACTCAAATGTAGAATTCTGCCTGTTTGAAACCCGGATTTTGCATTTTTGATAGACGATTCAATACCTCTTCTCATTTCTGCTCTCCTGATACATGAATTCAGATTTTTGCCTGCTCGAAATCGGATTTTGCATTTTTGATAGACGATTCAATGCCTGTTTTCATTTCTGCTCTCCTGATACTCGAATCGAGATTTTTGCCCGCTCGAAATCGGATTTTGCATTTTCGAAAGACGATTGAATACCTCTTCTCATTTCTGCTCTCCTGATACTCAAATCTAGAATTCTGCCTGTTTGAAACCCGGATTTGCATTTTCGATAAACACACTCAAAATACCTCTTCTCATTTCAGAACTCCTGATACATGAAATCAAATTTTTGCCCGCTCGAAATCGGATTTTGCATTTTTGATAGACGATTCAATACCTGTTTTCATTTCTGCTCTCCTGATACTCGAATCGAGATTTTTGCCCGCTCGGAATCAGATTTTGCATTTTCGATAGACAACTCCATACCTCTTCTCATTTCTGCACTCCTGATACATGAATTCAGATTTTTGCCTGCTCGAACTCGGATTTTGCATTTTTGATAGACGATTCAATACCTCTTCTCATTTCTGCTCTCCTGATACTCGAATCGAGATTTTTGCCCGCTCGGAATCAGATTTTGCATTTTCGATAGACAACTCCATACCTCTTCTCATTTCTGCACTCCTGATACATGAATTCAGATTTTTGCCTGCTCGAACTCGGATTTTGCATTTTTGATAGACGATTCAATACCTCTTCTCATTTCTGCTCTCCTGATACTCGAATCGAGATTTTTGCCCGCTCGGAATCAGATTTTGCATTTTCGATAGACAACTCCATACCTCTTCTCATTTCTGCACTCCTGATACATGAATTCAGATTTTTGCCTGCTCGAAATCGGATTTTGCATTTTTGATAGACGATTCAATACCTGTTTTCATTTCTGCTCTCCTGATACTCGAATCTAGAATTTTGGCTCTCTGAAACTCGGATTCACATTTTCGATAGACAACTTAATACCTCTTCTCATTTCTGCTCTCCTGATGAATGAATTCATATTTTTTCATGCAAATCCGATTTCGAACAGAAAAAGTTAACGTATTTTACCGACAAGAAAGAATTGATTTCAGCGATCTTCCTGCCAATGTTTTCAATGTTTGAATGCGAATGTCTCGAAAACCAAAGGAGATGAAAAGAAACAAACCTTAGATTTTTGTTCAGCACGTCGAGAACATCCTGTATACAAGTTTTGAGCTCATTCTGAGGCCTCGAAATATGTGAAAAATATTCAAAGGGGTTAACCTTCTTTCATTTTCAGACCCAAAAATCAACTTTATCGTAGAGCCTTCAAATTCCGTATTTAGGACCCTTTAGGGATGCCCTAGTGCGGAGTGAAAGCACAGCTCTATATCCCTAAATTTAGAAAAAAATCGATTTTTGACCCCTTTCGGGCTCAATTTTTTATGCACTCTACATCTCTCAAATGAATGAAAAATCAAGCTGAAGAAAGTATATTGCAGACGAAATCGTGTTTGTTGAGACGATTTCTGCGATTTTGAACGACCTTTTTCTTCTTAAAAATACTTATATCTGGAAATCTAATGAAGATACAGGAAAATCGACTTTACTTTCGTGTTCAGCACGTCGAGAACATCCTGTATACAAGTTTTGAGCTCATTCTGAAGCCTCGAAATATGTGAAAAATGTTCAAAGGGGTAACCTTCTTTCATTTTCAGACCCAAAAATCAACTTTGTCGTAGGGCCTTCAAATTCGGTATTTAGGACCCTTTAGGGATGCCCTAGTGCGGAGTGAAAGCACAGCTCTATATCCTAAAATTTAGAAATAAATCGATTTTTGACCCCCTTTCGGGCTGAATTTTTTGCCACCCACATGTCCGAAATTGATGCATAATCGAGTTGATGGAAGTGATTTGCAGACGAAATCGGGTGTGTTGAGACGATTTCTGCGATTTTGAACGACCTTTTTGTTTTCTCAAAAATGCTCATATCTGAAAAACTAATAGAGATACGGAAAAATCGACTTTACTTCCGTGTTCAGCACGTCGAGAACATCCTGTATACAAGTTTTGAGCTCATTCTGAGGCCTCGAAGTTTGTGAAAAATGTTCAAAGGGGTTAACCTTTCATTTTCAGACCCAAAAATCAACTTTGTCGTAGGGCCTTCAAATTCGGTATTTAGGACCCTTTAGGGATGCCCTATTGCGGAGTGAAAGCACAGCTCTATATCCTTAAATTTGGAAAAAAATCGATATTTGACCCCTTTCGGGCTGAATTTTTTATGCACACATCTCTCAGATAAATGGAAAATCGAGCTGAAGAAAGTATATTGCAGACGAAATTGTGTGTGTGTTGAGACGATTTCTGCGATTTTGAACGACCTTTTTGTCTTCTTAAAAATACTTATATCTGGAAAACTAATGAAGATACGGGAAAATTGACTTTACTTTCGTGTTCAGCACGTCGAGAACATCCTGTATACAAGTTTTGAGCTCATTCTGAAGCCTCGAAATATGTGAAAAATGTTCAAAGGGGTTAACCTTCTTTCATTTTCAGACCCAAAAATCAACTTTATCGTAGAGCCTTCAAATTCGGTATTTAGGACCCTTTAGGGATGCCCTAGTGCGGAGTAAAAGCACAGCTCTATATCCTTAAATTTAGAAAAAATCGATTTTTGACCCGTTTCGGGCTGAATTTTTTATGCACTCCACATCTCTCAAATGAATGAAAAATCGAGCTGAAGGAAGTATATTGCAGACGAAATCGTGATTTCTGCGATTTCGAACGACGTTATTGTTTTCTCAAAAATGCTCATATCTGGAAAACTAACAAAGATACGGAAAAATCGACTCCACTTCCGTGTTCAGCACGTCGAGAACATCCTGTATACAAGTTTTCAGCTAATTCTGAGGCATCGAAATATGTGAAAAATGTTCAAAGGGGTTAACCTTCTTTCATTTTCAGACCCAAAAATCAACTTTATCGTAGAGCCTTCAAATTCGGTATTTAGGACCCTTTAGGGATGCCCTAGTGCGGAGTAAAAGCACAGCTCTATATCCTTAAATTTAGAAAAAATCGATTTTTGACCCGTTTCGGGCTGAATTTTTTATGCACTCCACATCTCTCAAATGAATGAAAAATCGAGCTGAAGGAAGTATATTGCAGACGAAATCGTGATTTCTGCGATTTCGAACGACGTTATTGTTTTCTCAAAAATGCTCATATCTGGAAAACTAACAAAGATACGGAAAAATCGACTCCACTTCCGTGTTCAGCACGTCGAGAACATCCTGTATACAAGTTTTCAGCTAATTCTGAGGCATCGAAATATGTGAAAAATGTTCAAAGGGGTTGTTAACCTTCTTTCATTTTCAGACCCAAAAATCAACTTTATCGTAGAGCCTTCAAATTCGGTATTTAGGACCCTTTAGGGATGCCCTAGTGCGGAGTAAAAGCACAGCTCTATATCCTTAAATTTAGAAAAAATCGATTTTTGACCCGTTTCGGGCTGAATTTTTTATGCACTCCACATCTCTCAAATGAATGAAAAATCGAGCTGAAGGAAGTATATTGCAGACGAAATCGTGATTTCTGCGATTTCGAACGACGTTATTGTTTTCTCAAAAATGCTCATATCTGGAAAACTAACAAAGATACGGAAAAATCGACTCCACTTCCGTGTTCAGCACGTCGAGAACATCCTGTATACAAGTTTTCAGCTAATTCTGAGGCATCGAAATATGTGAAAAATGTTCAAAGGGGTTAACCTTCTTTCATTTTCAGACCAAAAAATCAACTTTGTCGTAGAGCCTTCGAATTCGGTATTTATGACCCTTCAGGGATGCCCTAGTGCGGAGTAAAAGCACAGCTCTATATCCTAAATTTAGAAAAAAGTCGATTTTTTGACCCCTTTCGGGCTGAATTTTTTGCCACCCACATGTCTGAAATTGATGCATAATCGAGTTGATAGAAGTGTTTTGCTGACGAATCCGTGTGTGTGGAGACGATTTCTGCGATTCTGAAAGACATTTTTGTTTTCTCAAAAATGCCTATATCTGTAAAACTAATATAGATACTGGGAAATCGACTTTATTTTCGTGTTCAACACGTCGATAACATCCAGTATACGAGTTTTCAGCTCATTCTGTTTGTGCTCAAGAAAAAACAACCAATCAGTAATTGAAAGTTTATTCCACAAATAACAAACAGGACAAATTTCACTTATTTGGTAACAATTTTCTTTTTCATATAATTTTCACATTTTCATTTTAGGTATATACAAAACTTTCTTTGTACCTATCATTTTTACAGGGTGATCGTTAGTTATAGAATTTCCACACTCGTGATTATTTCAATAACCGCGAATCGGAGGAAATAAAAATCTTGAAATATGAATTTGAAAAGAATATACAGGGTGAAACATTATAATCCGTCAGAGTTCGATTGATTGAAACCAATGATAGCTAGAAACTTGATTTGAAAAGTAACTAGACAATAATGTTTATAACTAGAAATTATTGTTACACAGAGCGCATCAAAAATGATCTTGAGAATCCAGCATCAATTTTCTCAATGGAATGCTGTATAAATAAGCACACTTTTTCAAGCATATGTATATCACATTTTTCTGATCCATTCCTACGTGTTAGAGGTGATTGTATAGGGTGTTCAGCAAATATTTTTGAATTTGAAAAATCAAATTATTTTGTATTTTCAAACACCCTGTATATTTTTGGCCATGTGATGAATTGAATAATACAAATATTTTTTAGCCGTATTTTTATATAACCTGACCATTTTCGAATTATTCGAATGTTCAAAATTCAATCAATCGGAATTGGTCATGAATAACATGAATGCATGCAGACGGTCAAAAATATCAATTCAAACATAATGTTCAGCTACCCTGTATCTGTTCATTGAATGGCATTATGATTATTTACTCTTAAATTTCATAACTGCTACGCTAGTGATTTTTTCGGTATGAAACTGAATATACATTGATTGGACAAACCAAATGATGGCTTTCAAAAGATTGAGACATGGTCACTAAAACTGGAAAAATAGATGGAAGTCTCAGGAATTGCTCGAAAAAAGTGCTAATATACTTATTCAACTTAATAAGTGTCTTTCAACCCTCTAGCGATCATTTTTGGTGCGCTCTGTATATGTGGCACGCAATAATTTTTTGATATAGATTCTGTTGTCTAGACCGAATTCGTTTTTCAATCATGTTTGTACTAGCTGTCATAGGACTCTAGCAATCGGACCCTGACGCACTATTGCCTCATCCTGTATATGTTGAACGTATGACCTACATGCATAAATTTATATCAATTATAAGGATGATGACGTTTACAATTCACAGGACTATATGCTAACAATTCATAACAATAATAACGAGATCGAGATAACCAGGAGTGTAGAATCTTGAATCATCACCCTCTGCACCATCCTAGTGAACCAATAATCAATAGTTAATTCGATAAATGGATTGTACGATATATCATCATCTCCTGGACTTCTACTAACTTCTGAAAATACGTAGTAATAACTATAACTGTTACAGTTCTGAAGATGACAAGAATATTTCCCGAAAAACTTTGGGTACTTTGGTACAAATAGACCAGGAGATGGTGACAGGTGACGTCCCCCATTTTACACTGCATGCCATTTCAAGGCATTATAATTAACCCCAAAATATGATCAATAGACGGGTTCCTGGCCACCGCAAGTGTGCACTTCATAAGAGGAAGTACTTTTCTTTTTGAGAAGAATTCTCGTGTTTTTCAGCGATATTATATTGTCTGATCGGAGTTCCAAACAAACTGAAGCTCCTAAAATTGATGGCATGCAATCCGCAGCGGCCGGAAGGGCTCAAAAAGGTTAGGAAAAACTGGAGAATTTAAAGGGGACTTCCGTGTTATCAAATTGCATGCCGATGTAAAAAATTGAAGTTTTAGTAACAAAAACACTCTGTAAAAATTGGCATGCGCCCCTCGTGAAACCATATATGCCTCTATTCTGCAAACTCCTACAGTTCATACCAAATAAGCTACTAATAATCAATTATACAGTTGAAGTATCTTCTTCATGGCATGTAGTTTGGAATCAAGGAAAACCTGTATTAAATTTTCCCGAAATTTTCCAACGTTGTAAGACGAGAGGCGCTGGCCAGTTTTTCCAGAGTGTTCCTGTTACTAGAACTTAAATTTTTCACATCTTCATGCAATTTGAAAACATTTAAGTCTCCTTTAATTTCCTTCAGTTTTTCGTAACACGTTTGAGCCCTTTCGGCCGCTGCGGATTGCATGCAGTTTGTTTGAACTTCCGTGTATTACAACGGCAGGCAGTATAATAATAATAATGGGGGAGACCACTGATTTTTTAAAATGACATTATCGTGAACTCTATACTGAAAAACTACCAGCGAATTAATTTTGAATTTTTTCATTCATGCTAAGACGATGAAAATAATAAATTTGGATATGTCCATTTCAAAACACACAATTCCTGCGTCATTTGAAATTTTGTCAATTCATTGGTGTGACTGGTGCGACGTCTTATTCCCAACACGCCTATCGTCCTTGAACTGACCAATCACACTGCAACACTGCAGAATGACGAGGTATCAGAGAGAGATAGCTACAGTTCGGGACTAATACGTCACGAATCCCATCATATTTGGCTGTTCGAAATATCGATGAAATATGCTGATTTCAAAACGATATAGATTCAATTCCCTTCAACTTCAACTCATAATATTGATTGTACATCAAACGTAAATCATGATTCGTCGATTGAAAGAGGTTTGCACGGATTTCTTCTCTCAGTGGTCTTTCCCATTAAGGAGCTTTATTGGATACCCAAAAGGCCACCGACCGAGGTCCTTCAGCCTGTGTTACACAGTGATTATACATAGAGTTTAAATTCATCATTATATAGTATGTAGAAGATATATGGAATTATTAAATTTGCTAGTGTAAAAAAGAAAGACGAAAAAGGAGAAAAGTCTATTGTGAGGCAAGCATTTTTGAAGGAATTTCAGTCTTCTGAATTGATTAAGCATTCCAGTAGTGTGTTCTCCAGAAACTTCCTGCAGGCACTATAATATCAAGGAAAGACACGAAAATTCTTCATAAAGAGAAAAGCCCGTTTCCTTATGAAGTGCACACATACGGAGAGGCCAAGAACCCGTCTATCAAAAGGCATCAGTGTAAAATGGGAGAACGTCACCTGTGACCATCTCCTGGTCTAAAAACAGTTCTCTGAGATGGTAGGTTACGTAGACAAGTACACGTTCTCCAAATAAATAAATAAATATAGATACAACTCCGTGCAATTTTTGGTTCGATTATCTACACACACCCTTATAAATTATTGACGCTGATGATCTGATTGATCCAGCCGATGAACGAGGACACCTTGACATACACCCCCGGAACGTCCAACCGACCGCACCCGAAGCCCCACGACACCAGCCCGGCCAGCTCGTAGAAGCCGTCGTCCTGGCATACCAGAGGGCCGCCGCCGTCGCCCTGGCAGGCGTCGTGGCCCTCTTCGCCTCCCGCGCAGAAGCTGCTCGCCGGCAGGATGAAGATCTTCTCGGTGACGGCGTTCACCTTCCTGATGCATTCCGCGTCGCTGACGATCGGGATCTCGGCCTCGCGGACTCTTAATGGGATAGGGCCAGCTGAAAAAAAAAAAACAATAATAATAATAATAATAATAATATGCTTTATTGTCTGAAGAAGAATCTTGTTGACAAAGCTAGGTCAAATAATATTGTAAAAACAGGTTAAAATATAACGACATAAAACCGTCGGTTCAAGACGGACCCCGGTCGGACCGGAACCAATCTTGGGAATACCAAATAGCCTGGCAATGTCCTCTATAGAGGAACAGCTGCAAAAGCAATTCCTCAATATATGGAAGGACACACCAGGAATGAGACAATCGAAGCTCCACATAAAGGAACCTTCGAAGAGGCTCGCAAAAGAGGTTTTATTCCTAAACAGGCGAAACCTTAAAATGGTAGTGGGGCTCCTAACGGGGCACAACCACCTCAATAGGCACCTAGAGCTTATTGGGATCAAGGATGACCCCCTTTGCAGATGGTGCCTGGAAGATGACGAAACGTCATCACATGTCCTCACTGAGTGTCCAGCACTGACGCGTCAGAGGAGGGCTGTCCTTGGCAACATAATCTTGAGGCCAGAGGACGTAAAAGAGATTCAGCTGAGGAAGCTGCTGAACTTCTCCAAGGCAGTCGGCATACCCAGCTGAATGTCGTAACATGTGGGCGCACAATGGGCCCGAATAAGGAGGCCCACGTGCAGGGGGTTCACCCGCCCACCAGTGCTTCGAAGAAGAAGAAGAAGAAGAACGACATAAAAATACGTGACAAAATATAGTCGAAATAAATACCACATTAAAATACTAAAATATCACAACTCAAACGTATCACTATAATATTCCTGCAAACTGTAATAGGGTCTATCAGAGAGGAACTTTTTGACTTTCTTCCTGAATTGACAGTCATTCAGACTTGCTGATCTAAAATCAACTGGCAAGTGGTTGTACATTTTTCCACCATTATAGTATATGGAATCTTTAATGAACTCTCTTGTGGGTAGAGGAAGTTTCAAACTGAAATTTCTGTTACGCGTGTTATGATGGATGGGAGTTGTAGTGAATTTCAACTTGTGCTTATTTATCAGGCAAACAGATTCCAGAATGAATAGTGCAATCAGTCAATATTTTATTATTAGAAAATGAAATTCTGAGGTTTAACATTACACAAATACCTTATCGCTCGTTTCTGTAGAATTAACAGAGTTTTTAAAGACGTTGGACTGCACACTCCCCAAAAAGGTATTCCATACCGTAATTGGGAATCTATTAGTGAATAAAATACCATCTTGGCAGTATGGAATCCTAATTCCCTAGAAATCACTCTCACTGCATAACATCCAGAAGAGATCTTACCAGTGAGTATCTTGACGTGGTTACCAAATTTCAGATATTTGTCGATCAACAATCCCAGAAACTTAGTATCATTTCTACTTTCAATAAAATTATCACCAAATGTGATTTCATCAAGGGAGGATCTGAATGATATTATACTAGTTTTAGATATATTGAACGACCGAATATTGGCGTCACACCAATCTTTCACCTTTTTCAAATCAGATGATATCATTTGATGCAGATCTCAAGGATTCCTACTATTCCATAATATAGTAGTATCATCTGCGAATAGAGTGAACTTTCCAGTTATATCAATTTTCGTGAGGTCGTTGACATACAATAAGAAAAGTACAGGTCCTAGCACAGATCACTGTGGAACACCATGATCAATATTTCTCTTCTTGGAAAGTTCTGTCAAACATCAACTTCATTACCCAACAAACAATGAACTACCATGAAGTTTTTTTATCGCTTGGAGCGCACGAAAGGAAATCCCTATAATGTTCCAAGAACATCGTGCGTTCCTAGGGAGGATATAGGAACAGGAGGTAGGTATGGGATTTTTTTGAACTTCTGGAGATTATATGTCGTTGGGAATACTTCCTCAGGCAATGAATTCCAGAGCCTATCCGTTCTATGGATGAAGGAGTTTTGATAAAGTGCTGTTCGACATCTTTCGAGGTTGACTACGAAAGGATGTGCTGGCTGGGCTTGTCTAGTTCGTCTGATTGGTATTGCTAGTGAAAGGATGATAGCAGAGATTTCCGAAGAACATTTCCCGTGGAAGTATCGATAGAAAAGTGAAAGGTAGCCGACTGTTCTACGGTGTTCCAATGATGTATATACGATATCTCAACAAAAATGGGACCAAAATGATGGGTACTTTTTGAATCTATAAGGACGGAAAGTGAAGGATGGAAACAGCCATACTGGTTTGACAATTTTCGTATAATTTTTTCCCTACGTCGGCATCATTCGTTACCTATAGAGACAGAAGTTGGTCCCGCTTTGGGGACACCTATGATTCATATATGAGTAGCAGATATATGATCTACCCTATTAGGGGAGATAAAAGAAAAGCTCACCTTCGCCCATGTACCCGTACCCCGTGACGGTGCACCTCTTGCCGGCCGCATGGCTGACCCCCCTGGCCGGCAGACACACCAGACACACGCCCTCTTTGAGCTCGGCCTGGCCGTGCAGCTTGAGCAGCGCTATGTCGTTGTCCAGCGTCTGGCTGTTGTGATTGTGGTGGATGTAGGTGGTGGCCACCCTCAAAGTCTGCGCCGCCGGGCTGCCGTACTTCCTGGTCAGATCGTGGTCGCCCACGCGCACGTAGATCGCGTCGCCCGATCTCACGATGCTGGAAGAGGAAGAAGAAGAGTCGGTTGAACATCTGGGGCCTCATTTTTCAATTGAGAAAACGATTTCCTCGAGGGAATGCTTGGTCAATGAACTAAATATAAACAACTCGAATAGCATGATTTACGGTAATCTGTCTCTTTCCTACTCGTGTTGTTTAATGGTGGATTGGTGTTTAAGATTTCTTTTATCTAATAATTAAAGTACTCTAGATTTCTGTCTCTCATCTAAAAAGGCAAGAAAGTGAAGAAATAAGTTCATTGTCTTTGTTCTGTGAAATATCTATTCATTTGGCATGTTTTGTTTTAGAAAAAGGACTGAATTTGTTGGTGTGAACACTGTGAACTGATGGTTGAGAAGGTTTTGATGAACAATGGTGATTTGTTGTGTCGCCTTTGGATGCAAGAACGAGCAAGACAAAAGGAAATTGTCATGCCATGGGTGGGTAAGTTGAATATTGTTCAGATTTTTGGAAAATATAGTTCTTGAAATGATCATCAGTTAGGTGTACAATGTTCCTAGTCACAGAATATGTTCAAAAACTATACCTATATTATTTGTCAAAGTTAAATACTTCCATGACTTTTCCATAAATATATTAAGTCATATTATTTCTTGCAGTTTTTTATTCAGACATTCTTGAATTATGGATTAAGGTAGTTCGTAGAGAGAGTTGGACTCCATCTGAAACCAGCAAGCTTTGTGGAGAGCATTTCCTGCCAACTGATTATTTATTTAGACATACCAGAGGTCCTGCTAGCTTATTATTCAAACCAGATGCTGTACCTAGTATATTTCCATTTCCTAAGCATTTGTTACCAAAAAGGAAAATAAGAAAACTCATAGGTACCTAGTTGATTAATAATGGGGAAAAAAGTATGTTTGCACCTCTTTAAAATAAAGAACTAGGTAGTAATTTATGTTCAAGATGCATCTGTGGAAGTTCAAAACATTGGGTCCTAAGGAAGATGTTTATCATATGATGGACTTTACCTATGACTTCCAGCTGCCAAATTTCGAAGTTGATCAATAAAGAAACCAACTGTTCCATTCGAGAAGGATATTGTATTGAGAATTGTATTTTTTCAATTTCTAATAGGGATATGTTTGTAGGCAATGACCCTATGGTAAAATAGAAACCTATGGAAATTATGTTCAAAGTCAATACCATTCAAGAACTTCTTTTCAAAAATGTTTCCTATCGTTTTTCTTGAGGATTTATAAACATAAAGTTAATCAAATCATCCGTTGACATTGAAGTATGAGTACTGACCAAGGAACTCTCATGAGAAACGTGCAAATCTAATAGATTGATGCATATAAATATTGGAATGAGTTAGTCTGGTTTGGGGCTACTCTTGACTTGACTCGGTCGTAATGGTCAGTTACCCCTAAACTATTAGTGCCTATTCGAATATTACCTCTTGCAAATTATCAAGCCAAGCAAACCCCTTATAAATCGATAATGGTGGACAGATATCATACACTCGCCCCATTAACCAGAGGGGTTTGATACTCATTATTAACAAAACGAAGAAAATATCACAGCTATAACTATTATGCTAACTATCAACAAATAACAAATGAGCAATATTCCCGAAGAGACCCGATTACGGCGAAGAAAAAAAAAACTCACTTCGTCACGCAATGTGCAGCAGTGAGGACCCACTGGGTGCCGATGAGGGCTGCTCCGCAGAGGTACTGATTCAAGGAGTTGATGAGGGCGACTTGCCAACACCATTCCGCCTGGTCTCCGTCTTCTCCTCCCACCACTCTGCCTGTGCGAGCCGTCCCCTTCACCCCGCACACGTATTTGCTGTAGACGGGGGTCCGCGAAGTCGTCGACACCAATTTGGTGAATTCTGTTGCTGGAATAACACGAATTGTTGATACATGTCTCGTTGGAAAGTGCAATTTTTGATCACGTGCGAAATATAGAACTATTTTATTGAGTACGATAAGCTAGAACAAGTTTTCTATCTCCCAAAATGAAGATCTTCAAATTCTCGGTAATCTATTTATCTAAGAAAATATAATAAAGTGAACATTTTCCAAACATATATCTTACTTGGTGATTGAGCCAATGTCACTGAAGAAGGTGTAGTGTATGGGACACTCATCGACATGGTAGTTTCTTTAGATGGGGCTTCCTCACTTTGTCCCGAGACCTCCTTGATCAGAGTTTTTGGGGCGCAACATTGGGTGCCGGCTTTTCTGCATTTGAAAATTTCAGTCATCTCGGCATTCCCTGAAAATCAAATATCTAAAAATCCATTGATAACAATACTGTCCCGTAATTGAAGTGGAAGACCCGAACACCCCCAGATACCAAATTTGAATAGAATCGGAATACAAAACTAGTTCGCCATATTGAATCCGCTATCTTGATTCACCAATTTTGACGGAAGAATCATAATCTCCGACCCCGAAAATCCCCAGACACCAATTTTGAATAGAATCAGATCATAATTACCAATCTCGTCCGATATTTTGGAGCCGCCATTTTGATTTTTGTGAAACAAATATTGCATGATTCATCAGTTGCGTTTTATTTATCCGATTCCGCCACCGGAATCACTTCAATGTGTGTATTTGCAACTTTTCCGATTCCGGTCGCTACTTTTTCATTTCCTCTAACTACAAGGAATGACGTGGAATGACAGTTGTCACAAAATTAAATTAGAATGACGAAAATCGAAACTTTTTGAGAGTACAAGACATTTAGAAGACATTTTTATCGTGAGGTTCACAAGTTTACGATCCTTTAATTCAAGTATATAAGACAGGTTTCATATGTTTATTCCCAGATAAAATTAATTCTCTCGAGAGAAAAGTTTGCCCAATCACAATCAGTGCTCCAAATATGCGTTGATTCATTTTCTAGAATTTCAACCCTTATTATTTTGAAATAATTTGGAGTCCCTATATATATATACAGGGTGTTTGTAAAAGGTTGGGACATGGCTTTGCTGTGGACTCCTGGGATAAAAACAAGTTGATTTATAGGCCAACTTTCCAGAACATGCCATTCCAAAAATTATGGAAATCGATCCCAGCTTACTCTTTTTATGAGCAAAATTATTTTTTTCCAAAAAAACTTCAAGGCCTTGTTCCAACTTAACGAGACGATTCTGGATATAGGTAAGTTGGCCTCAATCAACTTGTTTTTATCTCAGGACTCCACAGCCGAGCCATGTCCCAACCTTTTACAGACACCCTGTATATAACCTCTATCATCAATAATATGTCAATTGTGTCATGTAAGGTGGAGTTTCTCCTTTTATTTGTTAACGTCATTATGTTCCCACCACCGGACAAAATAAAATGCAAATACATTATGACAACCTGCCAAATATCAGATTACGTTTAAAGTGGGTCAAAATTATCGAGTCTGAATGAGTCGGGTACATACGTACAGGTAAAGCTAATGAAAAGGTGTCAAAAACCCTAAAAACCATACTCACTGAAACACGTGAAGCTCAAATACGACACGATGCAAGAACCCGGACACTCCGGCCGCGGATCCACCGTCGTCGTACTAGTCGCCGCCGTCACCGCTTGAGGTGGCTTAGGTCTGGGCCTCGGGGCGGCCGATCTGGTGTTGTCGCAGCACACGGAGCCCCTTTGGCAGTTAGCGGTGTGCGGGATGAGCGTCGACGGGGCGTTACAGAAGCCGGCCATGATGTTGAGCAGGCACAAGCCGGGGCAGATCGGGCCGGGGGCCCGCGTGGCAGCCGGCGGCCGGGTGGTGGTCGTCGGGGGCGGTCGGGGTGAGGTGGGCGGGTCTTCGTTGGACTGGAAAGGGTCGGGCGATTAGAAAGGGCGGTGTAAAAACTTAACAAACTATAATAGCGTATTCGACTGGTTTGCAGTGACACAGTTTAAATGCGTCCCAGCAAACATTAATAGGCGGTAAATAGGCGGGCCATCGCTGTCAGCAGTGGCAAATTGATAACGGCAAAATGTTAGAATGACATAGGTTGTGCTACCACGGCATGATGTACGCTTATTTATTATGTTTTTTTTCTTCCGTCCCGTAATTGACCGTTATAGATAAGTCACAATCGAGCCGCTGTCGATTCGACGCTGGGGACAAACTCCATTATATGAATAATCTCATAGTGTAGTATCACAATAACAATATATCTCCAGAATACTTTCATGCATTTGCATTCTTTATGGTTGATCCCATCAAACTATCGTCGGACATCAAGAATGATATGTTATATATAACAATAATTATAAGTTCAGCTCTTTACCTTACTTGGACATCCAACATTTTTCATATTTTGTTGAGAGGAATCTCCTCTGAGCTTTTGTCACCAAAACTCTTAAACATCCCGTATATGGTAATGTCGTTAGATCGATGAGAATATGGAAAAAATGATTGCAGGCATCGATCAGTATAGTAACTGTAAATTAGTGCTTATTTGAAGTTTCAACTATGAATGAGGCAGATACCATTTTTTCTTCCGAAAAATCTCCTTGTTTACAGTTGCAATTGTAAATTACCTCTTATTCACAGTTGCAAGTGTAAATTAGGCAGATAAATCTTCTTTCTGTACATTTCCTCGTGATTAAAGTGATTCAAATAGCCGTCATAATGACGTGATTACTCTTCCCGAAAAATGACCACTATATGGTGACGTCTAGTTAAAATATGATTGATCTCATTATTGTTCACCATGAAAAGAACTATCATGATACCTTCGAAATTATTCTAATAATATAGTATTTGATTTGAATAGCGCAGCATCAATAGCGATGCAAATATATGCATTTTATTTTCTATTTGGTCATGACGTAACGATGGCAGCACTGTTCCTCTTGGGGGTCTTGACAGTGTTTCGGTTATGACCAGTGTTGTCATTTTGCTACATCTGTACAACGATGGCCCAACGTTGGCCCAATGTAAACCACTTCAAGACAGCCTATGCAGTATGTCGAATAAAAGTGAAAAAAAAATGAAACGTACTCCTTGCGACGTGACACAGCAACTGCCTTCATTGGGACAGTCCGCCTCGGAATCGATGTCGTCACAGAAGAGCGCGAACAGACTGCTGACACACTCGCCAGCGCACTCTTTGAAAAGTTGAGGCCGATAAGTCGCTGCCACGGCCGTGGTCTTCTGCAAGGCCACGCCGGTCGTGGTGGTCGGTTTCGGGGTGGACCTCGTCTCCACCGGAGTGTAGTTACTCTTAGTCTTGTTGGGGTAAATGAGGTTCGGGGGTATGTTATCTCCGAAGATGTCGCTCGACACGCAACAGCGCAAGCCCCGTTTGCACAGGTCCTGGGTGTCCAGAATGGCCTCGCAATAGTCCGCTATCCTTTCGGTCACGCACACGCCCTTGTATTGGCTGTTGTTGCAAGCGTACACTGATGGAAGAAAGAGATGGAGTTTAGGAGAAAAATTAAGAGTTCGGATGAGGTTGCCGATAGTACATTAGAGCTTATAGCCATAGCACCACTATACGGGAAATATTGCCACGGTGCCAAATCAAGGCTGTGTCAAGTCAGTCGTTCAACCACAGTCAATGTTTGACTCGACTAGCATCAAAAGTTAACTTGGTAACTGTGTGGGCAGGTTTGAAACGTGACCGATATTCCCAAACAGCTGATGGTTGGTCAGACTTCAAACTGAACGTATGTGTCCGGTCAAACCAAATCACAGACTTGACACAGCCCAAGAGCGTATAAAATTGTTTTGTAGTTTGTTTTGCTAGAGGCGTGGTGGTCATTAGAGTAATGTTCTTCCTCCGAGCGAAAAGACCGGGGTTCGATCCCTACTCCAGCTAATCTTTTTATTTTTATTTTTGCCAAGTGATGAATCGAAAAAATACTATGGAGGCATTTATTGGTTAGGCCAATAGTGATTCGCTATTTCAATGATGTTTCTTCTCAGGATCGGCCTGAAAATTTTCAGTTTCTCGCGCCCAGCGAGCAGCGAAAGAGGCGCAATATTACCTCGCTATGGTGTTATGGCTAGACTCTAGTGGATAGTACTTACCTCGATCGTTCGCCAGTGTAATGTTCGATTGCTTCTCTGCTGCTATCTATAAATGAAAGAATGAACGTATTTATGGCAGCCTCATTTCAAATGACACATCGTAGATAATTGTTTATCCGTCAATCACCAATTATCATAACTTGTCACCTCGGCAAACAGGGTCAATGGAAAATATGTTTTTCTAGGAAAAGTGACCAGAGAAATACTGTTAGGTACTTGATATTTTGTTACACATAGAAGTAATATAGTGATGACAATAACATAGATATATACAGGGTGAATTTAGAATGAGAACATTTATCATTTATTGAACACGTCAAACGAATATATGCCCGAAATATTTTTCTTTTTTCTTCTTCTAATGAAATCTTGAATATTGAACAAATGATGAATTCAAGACGACTGAAATGATCAGAATCGGTGTAGTTGTGTCTTCCTCACAAAAATTTATATGGATGAGGTGAGACATCAAAATTGCTTCAGTGTATTTTGAGTAGAAAAATGAATCTGCTTATGGTGACAATATCGATACTTGTAATTATTTTAATGTCACCCTATATATGAATGATGAAATAATTCAATTGCAATATCAGAAACAGTAAAATAATGCACCTACTTTTGATTCGTATTTCGCATTCACAGCACATGCCTCTGAACAGGATATCATGTGCCAATTTCCCACATTTTCAATACGTTATTTTGGATATGAAGTGACATCGAAAAATAAGTGATTGCGTGGATAAAAAAATCAGTCCGAAGTGAGCCAAGCTCTAACAATAAGAATAAGGGTTCCGTACTCAGTGGCGTAATTAAGGGGGAGGTCCATGGGGTCTGCACCCCCTCCCCAGAGCTGTCAGAAAAACCGAAACAATTTGGTAAGCAATTCTAATAATGGAAAGATCGAGAGAAAAGTAGACATGAGTATACGAAATATCATGGGAATTTAATTTGTAATTAATTTGCAGCGATGCGATTAGAATGTAAGACGGTATACCGGGTGATTTTCTAAGACATATCTACTTGCTGTTCCGTACTTCCGGTTTGACCGGAAATGACCCCAACTTTCAATTTTCAAATGGAACATCCTGTTATTTTAGTCCATAATCTATTATAGATAGAAACTTCGAATGCAAATATCTCCGTAATCGTTAGAAATGACCCTGAATAATCTTGAATTGAACATTTGAAAATCGAAAGTTGGAATCATATCTGGTCAAGCCGGACATACGCCAAAGCAAGTAGATATGTCAAAAAATGTCAATTGAACTATATTTCACAACCCAAAATCTCGTTTTTCTACCTTCAATAATAAAAAAGTTATAAGGGTGACCTACCTTGGAAAATCACCCCGTATATAGGTACTAGGTAATTCTCTTGGAGGCAGATACGTGGTGACGACGCCAACGCGAAAGAGAAAACAGCACAGACAGAGAGGCGGGCGATATTTAAAATACATATTTCAATTTTATTATTCAGTAACTGCATTAGTCGAATTCTTAATATTCGTTATTTTGTTTTTTTCTTCCAATTTCAATATTTGTACCTCTTGATATGTGATTTTATTTGATTCAGTTCTCGATACTTTTTCCTTAATTTTTTTATTGTATGTTACCAAATTCATTGAAAGCAACTTAAGATTCCTACGTATTATTTTTCTTTTCCCTAAATATTCGATATCGGGCCTAGACCCCCTCAGGGATGATTCTTAATTACACCACTGTCCGTAATAAAACAGTGGAATTAGGTATATTTTTTCCCGACTGTCAGTTAATTAGCTATTTTACTGCCTGTAGATGAGAGATAATAAAATACTGAAGTAGAACTATTACTGACCATAAGATAGTGAGAGTATATTTTCTACCTCCTAGGCACTTTTAATCGTGGTTGATTTTCTCATGTGGTCATCATCAGCACTCATCAGCACTCATCAGCGAAGGCATGAACTACTATCAATAATAAGAATGCACATTATGGTGTTTCAAGTTGACACAAAAATAATTATTTTTTCAGTAATTTCTCAAAAAAATCATATACCCACACAATTTTTCATTTCACGGTACGAAACCCTATTAAATCAGATTCAAGTCCACCTAAATACCTGGTTTGAGGTAGTTGTTGGCGCAGTCGTACTAGTAGTGGTTGTCGTCGAAGTGGTTGTGGTGGCTCTCGTCGTGGTCGTCTCAACCTTGGTCGTCGTCTCCGGTTGGTCGCCCTTGGTACTGTTTTGTTCAGGTACTTCCACGCAGCACTTCATGGAAGGCGAAGGGCAGGTGACATCTTCGAGTACGTCCGAGCAGATGATTGTTGCTAAAGCGTGCACGCACACGCCTGGACAATCCTTCGATTCTGCCGTACTCGTGATAGTGTCTAGTAGACCTGAATTGTAACGAGAAATAATCGACTTGATGGTATCTTAACTGATCAACAAATAAAACGTCGTGGTCCGAAATATAGGGCGAATACAAAATCGAATTACTCATGGATCCAATTTGACTTATATATTTTTAATGAATGACCCAATCATTCAAGTAACTCGTCAGAGGAATATGAGACTACAAAAATTCCAGATTGACGTTCTATACAGGATGATGATGGAAGTGGTATAAATTTGCAGTGGTTTCGTTATTATGTTCCCGAATGAGCCTCCTACTAAACATATTTCAGTATCAGAAACGTTTCAGAAATGTCTTACGGATATCTGAAACCTTTCCACTCAAGTCTCAACGTCCCAGATAATATGTATGGGTACGTTTCAACAAAACTGTCTTGGATGCGTTTCAAAAAACTGTCCTAGACACGTTTATTAATAGTTTCCAATTTTGAATAGTTTTATCAACCCTCCAAAGAAAGTGGATATGGTGTTGAAATTAAGATACATAGACAGTAGAAACAGAAAAATTCATTAGACACTATTTATTCTTATTCCACAAATAGAAGGCAATTCCCATCACACCGATGTGAGAAATGCAAAACGCAAATAGTCGTACATATCCTAATGAACACTTTCAGTCAATATCTCTATTAGTAACCAGAAATTCGACTTCGATGAATAAACTATTATTATTATCATTATTACATATTACTCGCTCTCATCTACATTTTTAGGCGGGATACCAAAGTTTACGCATGAATATCGAAAATTGAATGAGCGTGGAAGTAAAATATAATTATGAGTACGGTTTAACATTGATGGCGTGGTATAGTAGCAGCAGCTGTTTCATCTCGGAGATGTAATTTTTTCTTCAAAATGATATGCATTTTATCAACGAATAATTGAATAAGATTGAATGTTTTTTTTTTTTAATCAGATTGTGTGGATATATCTCATCAGATGAAACAAGGTGACTCAATTCCATTGATGCGAGAACTTATTTCCCTCATATATTTAAACATTCTCACATCATATCAGGAAATATATTAGCACACAATGTAAAATTTTCAGAAAACATGCTCAACAATCAATGTTTTACAATTATTCGTTAATAATATGCATCATTTTGTGGAAAAAAATATCTCCGATATATAAGCTCTGATTCAGTAAATTTCGAAATATATTCGAGAAAATACATCAAGCTTTATGTTCATGGGGGAAAAAATTGCTGAAATGGAACATAATCAACGACAGCGCTGTAATTTTACATTACTTCAATCATCATCCTGTAGAACGTTTATCTAGAATTTTCGTAGTCTATATAGGCTCTGACGAGTAAAAAATTAGTTATTGGATCCATGAGTAATTTGATTTTGAATTCGGCCTATATTTTGGACCACGACGTTCATTTTATTGTTGATCAGTTTACAATTTTTTATCAATGTATACCCTACCCTGTATAGTGGAACGGTAGTACCTACCTCAGATTGTTGGACCAGGCGCTATGAATATGATATGTATAAAGCTGGGTTAGCACTTGGGCGTTAGCTGGGGTTTGTTGATACTGGTGATGAAACATGAGATATTATTATTGGTCAATTCAAATTGGTTAGTTGAAGCTTATTCGTTGTGAATCTCTCCATCTGTTTCATCGTTGAGATTATGAGAACGCGAAATCGCCAAGCAATGAACTAGGCTTAAGATTTCGGAAAAGTCAATAATAGCTTGTAGTCATTCTAGCAAAATGAAAGGGGAAATCTTCTTTCCAGGTACTTTTGGAGTTCACCGTTAGATCGAGCAAGGTGTTCGGTATACAAAATTAATACTACATGCATATATAGGGGTAGGTAAGAATTGACTATGTATTCAACAATGAAGATTATCAGTTATACTTTTTTTTATTACTTTAATCTGCTTGAGCTATATTTCATTGTTTAGTGAAGAGTATAGACTGCTTGACTGTTGTTACCTGTAAAACCCGTTACAATACTTAATTTATTTATTGACGGTGAAAGTTATGATGTAAAAAACAATAATAGATTTCAAATTACTCTCTTCAAAATTCTATTCGAGATTATCATTTTCATTAGGTACCTATTATGATATCATTCAATATATATATACTTTCACCCATATCTTAAAATTTTCATGAATCCTGATAATTTTTTGTATGGAAATGGAATGCACCAGAAAATAGTAATAATGTGGGTATTTAAGAAAAAACCCACTTTTCATCACTAATTAGGAAGAAAAGTTGTAATTATGGTAATCATTATTCATTTAATCATAATTGAAATTGTGCCATCGAGTTTCCTCTCCTTTCCTATCAATCTGTACAAGGTGTTTGGGAGAAGAAGGAGAAAACTGAAATGAGAGAAGAATTGAGATTGATTTACCTGCAGCTTTAATTTAAAAGCTAAAAAGAGTTATTTTTTCTTCAAATGTTCAAATCCTTGAGAATTAATGTATGTTTTACTTAATAGATAATATTCAGTCATTGTCAATATCTCCATTCCTATCATCATAGATTTAAAAAAAAACTGTAGGACACACAGCAAGGTACTTAAATCGTTTTAGTTATACAGAGTAATATGTTTATCACTTATGTAATGAATGTATTGTGTTTCAATAGTGAGCGAAACAGTTTTTCCTAACCGATTTCAGAATATCATCAGAGAAAAAACTTTCTCTTGAGTAAACCGTTGACATGATGGAAATCCTGATAATTTGTCGTACTGAAGTGAACACTTGGTAGATATACATCATTGTTGTTCTACCAGTATATCCTCGTAACCTAAAAAAGTAGTGAAGCGGATGAGCATCAGGAGAATCGAATGGATAACAAAGTTAAAGATTTTCCCCGTTATTTTTATCCATTAATGCGTCGAGCTACTTCCGCAAAATTTATTGGTCCTTCGAGACGGATAAGTTAACAGACCTGAAGGTGTTTTACTATAAATTGCTAGGGAAAAACGCTCCTTGGTCTATATAGATGTGTTGAATCTGTCCGCCGACAATATGATGAATCGAATAAAAATTCTATCAAAGTTATCAATAACTGCAAAATAAGGATGAAAGCGTTCGAAGAATTGGGGGAAACATTCAATCTTATTTCTAATATCTTGTATGGATCGAAGCCAAATTATTTTCCCACGAAATAGCCGCCAATAGAAATCGTATTCATAAATTATCCCAGATGGATACCGTTAATAATTCACATATTTTATATAATTTCGAACATTCCAATCTAGTCCTAATGAGAGTGAGGTCAAGGATATTCTTCTAGTCATAGCGTATGCATATATAAAAAGCAAGTCTACGTCTAGATCCACTAATTTATTTGTATTGCTTAGAAAATGTGAGACATGCAGTTTCGAAAAATAGATTGATCACAGATAATTTTTGATCTCTAGTTACACAGTACAGGGGTACACCAGAGTTTTATAAACAAACGATATCACCGTTATTGAAAATGAAAAAAAAACAGAGCGACATACTTTGGCATTTTCATCAAATGAAATGTTGGAGAATACTTTGAATATACCGATAAATCAATACTAAAAAAGAATCTCAATCGCTTTCCGAAATTTCCAAGAGTTTTCCAGGAAGAACGGCAATCAATATCCAAATAGAGTGTATAGCCTGAGATGAAATTAAGTGAGAAATCTAGTCGGTATTGAGCTAACTGATTGGCGGCAGCACTTAAAAATGAGGGTTGTTGGTGAAATTTCAGAGATTGAAATAATGGATAATGGAAACCATCCGATATTTTGACAAAAACCACTTGGATCACTTTCATGGCTTCCATAATATCCGCGCCCGCGAAATCCACCCTGACGTGAAAAATGCATTATGAAAATCTCTTTAATGAAGATATCTCGGTTAATCGATGTATATAGGCAAAGCTAGGGTGCTTCCACTCACAGAACATGAATAGTTATCTGTGTATCGAATTATTTGGAAGACACTTTGAATGTTCCAGTAAAGGGTTTGTTAGAAGGGAGAATATTACGAAAGGTACAGTGAATTCTCTTGATTAATAATTTAGAAGATTTGGAAAACTGAGCCGATTCACACATAACAAATGCACTGTAATGTTTATGTGAAATTTATCGGAGCACGACAATAATGCCTACTGATTCATCCGGGAACAATAACTGCTGAGAATTTTAATTAACATATATAGGTAATATGCAATATCATCGAATATATGTTTCCAGGCAAAATATATTCCAGGTCAAACAGAATATCAATAACTCGATGCAAATCAACGAATATTATCCCATACAATTTCGTATTTTATACACAGGAACAGCGATTCATCGCAAATCCAAAGTATTTTTCATTTCATTTAACATTGTTGATATCTGTTATTCCCCAGTTGTAGAAAGCATTTTCCCCATCAAATACCTGATCAGAAACAATCAAAACGAGTTCGATGGGATTATCAGTGTTATCAGGACGAGTGAGTGAAAGATGACCTAAAAAGCGTCGACAGATCGCGTATTGGTAGCAGCTCGTACCTAATGGTTAGAGAAGAAAGCAGTCGGTTATAACAGTAAATAAAAAGAGTACCGTTGGCATTGGCAATGACAGCAGGAAGGAAAAGAAGAGATCGGTGTGGGTGTGTGTGTGTGCGAGAGATGAGATGAGATGAGAGGCAGTGGACGTACCTGAGAGGAAGCTGCCGGCCAGGGAGTCATCTTGCGCCTGCACCCCCAACAAGAAGAAGACCAACAGAAGAACGTGCCCTGTCCACATATTAGCGAATTCGGCTTCGGAGGAGCGCGCACTGAACACGAACGGGCACCACGCGATCGCGCCTGACTATTTCATTGATATGCGCCACAAATTAGCTGGTGTGCAATACGGAATTACTTCCAGAATTTACCGTTGCGAAGACCACACCACTCTGAATAATTGGCTATGGCTTGCGCCTTCTTGCTTTGCTCTTCTCTCGACAAAATCGTTCGCTCACTGAAGCGAGGAGCGCGTGTGTGGTGAGCATGTGAAGAGTATACCATGCCCGTGCCCAGGCGATACCTACCGCACCATACCTTGCACCACACCATACCATCGGCATGGCAGCCGAGTCGGTGCGTTTTGCTGGTACCCGCACCATCCCGCACCGCTCCGCGGGCTCGATCATCCAGAACCAGAACACCATCATAGGCGCAACTACCAAGCGGAAGGAACTATACATCGATTCTTCTCGACAACTAGATATGTTCATTCCCATGACTCTATAGACTTTCGAAATTTCAAATGAAACTACCCCACTGATTGATGGGCGCATAGTTTTCGGATTTGGGTTATTCGCTTTGGAATGGTGGAAAAGGTTCCGTCAAATAGCCTCCCGTTTCAATCCCTTTGACATTTTTCTCGTGGGCCGTTCGAAATCAGGAGTGTATACTGGAACACAATAGTAATGTTCGAACAAGATTATTGTTTGAAAGTAAGTCAACAGGGGTAATTTTTAGCGATACATTTGGCAAACCTTGCTTTTGTTTTGCTTAAGCTTTTTCACTTGAGACTGGGCAACCGAACATGACAGACTGAATATCATCCGGGGAGAAGGTTTTTATTTGAAGAAACGCTCAAATAGGTCGATTTTTAATTCATAGCGGCCACATTTTATCATATCTTCGACTGCCACATGTCATTTCCTTCTCCTACACATCACTGATTAATAGCATTTTAATAGGAATGGTACTATGTATTTTACATAATCAAGAAGTTAATTTGATGCAGGAACTAATATATGAATAATATAAGTGACGATAATTTAAGCGTCTTCTTCCGGGAATAAAATATTACCGATTTCTTCATAGTAAGTTATTCCAGTCTGTTTCGTATTCGTTCGCTTACTCTGTATTATGGTGAACTGATCGACACAGCAAAAAAGGAGAACGTGATTGTTCAGAAATACGCAAATGTCAGTTTCTCAACTTTCCGTTTTTATTCAACAACTCTATCAAATCTCAACCGATTCTCAAAAACTATGCACCAATGTATTCTCAAGGAAAATTACTTCAAATGATGTGCTAAAAGTTGCAATTGCTGAAGATGAAGGGGAAAGAATAAATCGAGTTGGCATTACCGTCAAAAGAGCTTATCTCAAGAACAGAAATATACAGATCTCAGCAAATTCTGAAATAGGCTACTACAGTATGTCCCAGCTAAATCGCTCGGACAAGAAGATTTCAATTTGGCAGGAGACATATTTTTCTGTAACTATCATACTTAATATCCCAAAGTAGAACATTGGAAAGAATACAGGTTGATTTAAGTTTCAGAATTCTGATCACCCTGTATCTGTTCCAATTGAATGCCATTAGATATAGTAAATCAAAAATTGAGATAGGAACATGGAAGCCGTTTTGACCGATAATGGATAGTTCCGACACAAAAAATCCTAAATTTGAAAAATCTCGATTTTGAACACCCTATATTTCTGTAATCATTCCCGCTAGACCCCAAGTGTGATCTATCGATGGAATCAGCTCTTCGGGGAGAATCTAGCAATGATATACAGGGTGTTTCATTTGAAAATATAGAGTTGAAGCCCGTTCCGCTTCAAGATTTCAACTTTTTTGGGATCTGAGTTACAGAAAAATGTGTCACTCGCCAAATTGAAATCGACCTGTCCGAGTGATTTTAAATTTTTTCAACGACATTGGAGATGAGGGGGGTGACAAGTTTCAGCTGGGACACACTGTATAATTCATAAAAAATCAATAGGTCAACAAGATTCGAGTGCCATATCTGATAAATGGCGAATGCGCTCTCTCCGCCATAAATATTTTAGAGGTGCCCCTCGCGCTTGTCAAAGCGTTAGATTCACCCTATTTCATGAAAATTATTTCGTCAACTTCAACATAAAATTAAAATGAACTTAAGATTTCTCATTGGGATCTAGTCCTAAAAAATGTGTGATATACGAAATAGGTTAAGTGGGACAATGTTGAAGATTCCAGTCTAGAATTTTCCAAAAAATTCTGAACCATTCGGAATTTTCTCCCACAACATTCGGTGAAAATGATTCGGAGAAGGCTATCCAGCCCCCCAGCCGCCAGAGTTTCGCCCATGCCGAAGAACGAGGCCCTGGCCTTGACACGGTGGTCATCGACCTCCGCGTTACCTTGCGTTTCTTGTCTTAGGCAACTCATCCTCGACACTCCTACGCACTGCTACTGGCACACTGCATTCAGTCCAGCCCACAGACAAGAGACTCCCCTCTCCGTCTTACAATGTTCAGGAACGAAAATAACCGAAGCGTTGTTCGTAATAAGGAAAATAACCTCTCTGAATCAGGAAGGAGACTACTTTTTCTGAACAATCTAACCTAACTCGGCCGTAATAAACCTTTTTCCAGGAAGTATATTTTTCGGAAAGGAGACTATTTTTTTCTAAACAATCTGACTCAACTCGGCATAAATGAACTTTGTTCCTAGGAAGAATATGTTTCGGAAAATTCTTCCTAGAGAGTATATTTTTCCGAAAATATCCTCTTTGCATAAGAAAGCAGTAGGTATATTTTTTCTCGGTCAAAATGAACCTTCCCAAAAAGTTTACTTTTACAAACTATTTATTAGCAGACTACTGCATATGGTAAATGCGAATTTGTTAACAAGTCTAAAGAGCATTTCGATCGTTCTTGAAAAAAAATCAATGAAATAGCAAATCACTACCAGCCACAACATTGAATGCCTGCATAGTATATTTTTCATAAATTAACTTAAAAAAAGTAACTTGTGAATTGTATCGTCGTGCTATTAGATTATTCTTTTTGAATTATTTTTGGTTTGTGAAGAAGTGTACTTCTTCCTAATAATATTGTAATATAACTAAAATAATCTTTTTTATTGTACTATTGATTAGAAAATTTATATTGAATGCAAAAAGATGAATATAACAGTCTGTATGAAAACACGTGCTTGTACTTTGTGAACTATGTATTTATCGTGGAAAAAGTACACATAGAACTAGAAAGAAACAGATGCCAGTAGCCACTCGTATTAGTATACATTTTATACAAAGTGACCCATTCATAAATCTTTTATTTATATACCGATTTTGAAAAATTTGTTTTGATATGTGGAGGGGGAAAGGCGTGTTTCGGAGCCAAGCGGTGTTCACTTTTTTTTTAAAACGACGTCTACTAGATCACGATCCGAGGCTGAAAAACCTATAATCCATATTAGGGATTTTCTTGAAAAAAAAAAATAGCGTAAGCCACTGGGAACGGCGTTCTCTGAAATAGATCTGTACCAAGTTTCATGGAAAAATATTCAACATTGACAATTCTTTGTAGTTACTGACAAGTTGTATATTAATTATTATGCTTTGAAAAGATTTTCAAGTTGTAAACCAATGCGATAACAAAAAAATTACGATTTCATTTGATATCAACATTCAAAAGACATTCTTCTAAAATAACATGAATTGGTTTCAGATTCTGGATCCTTCAACTTCTTCTTCATTAAATCCCTTATAGGAGGGGGGGGGGGGGTTAAGTCGAGAGATCTAGGAGAAAACTGCAATAATTTGCGGTCATCTGTGACATTACTAATTTGCAAAGCCTACTATTATGAATATTAAAATATGAAAAGCTTCTCCATGCCTACTAAACAAGTTGTCAGTAATTTAGTCACAGAATCGTTAATGTTGAATTTTATTTTTTCAGGAAACTTGGTAGAGATCTATTTCAGAGGAGGCCGATTTCAGTGGCATATGCGAATTTTTTTCGAAAAAATCGCTGATATATGAATTCAGGATTTTTCAGCCTCTGAATGTGATCTGGTCACTCTGTATATATGAGGCATGCCGCACTGTGCGCAAAATATATGGATATATATATATGTAGAGTGATAGCTTTCGGTAATGATGATGCGAGTTCCACAAAAAAAAAATAGATGGAACAGGATCTCAACCAGGGACCTTCGGCATATTGGCTCGTTCGCTGTTCTATTGACCATTACATAAAATATGTACAATTACAGATAGAATTTTGATGCCCACCCTGCAAGCGCTGGTGCTGCTTGGGTATTCTCGTTCCTGAACACTGCAAGAGTCTTGTGGCAACGGTGGCGCTGAATTTTAGTACCTATCATATATCCTGAACGAAAAAAAAAAAAAAAAAACTAAAGATTTCTGTGCTCTCCACCACTCTACCGTTTTACGGCTTGTAGTTGCGTTGATGCACGAATATGTCATCGTAATATGTAATCAAATATCATTATGAGATCTTATGTGTGCTTCAATTTTATTAACGTTGTATCATCCCAGATGTTTATGAACGTAAAGTTTTTATGATTGTATATTTTATTACTGCTGATGTAGCCTTCCATTCCATTATTGTACGTTGTTACTGTAACTTCGGTCTCATAAACTTCGTGTTTTGTTACAATTCCCTAATATAATGGAAACTCCCGTATGTTGCGAAAGAAACAAAAAACTGGACGGATAGTCCAAAATAGCCCTACGTGAAAATTGAATTATTTGAAACCTATTGTGCACTGTTTATCCATGGAACAAGTGTACAATTCAATATTTCGAACTACTGTACTGTACAATCTGACTATTGGGGTACACCCAATTTTGTTTTTTCAAATTAAATTTTTTCATTGCATATTATACCAAAGAAATTTCAGAATATTTTTTGTTTTCACATTGGGGTACTTGTCCGATATTCTAATTTCATTGTAGCAGACGTTATAAAATAGTTATTTATGAACCAAGGAAGAAAGTGGAGTTATTCAGAAGACAATATCCAAATTCCTGGAAACACACACACTTACCTAATTGATAAAGTGTCTAGTATGATATTTTTCTCTATAAAAATGTTATTTTTAGGGCATGTGGGTAATGGACACTGAAAATTTCGTGATTTTCCGTAATAATAGTTTTTTTGAAAATGATATATGTTTTGCTTGCAAAGATAAAATGAAAGCATACCTACCTACAGATAAAACGCGAGAAAGAAGATAATTCATTTCGAGTTCTATACCGTTTTACACCTCTGTTTTCCTCGATATGTTTCTGTTTACGAATACTTCACGCCTCGGGCTGAACACCATCAATCACATCGTAATTTTTTACTCAGCAGAACCGAGTTTTCCTCATGCAATAAATATTCCTGCAGAAGTCGTCACAATAATTTTCTCTGTCATTAAATCTCCACTCCAACATACAATCACATTTTTCGTGTCACTCCTGTTAAAAAAATATCTGATGGGATTTCATTCGGATGAATACGTAGCTGTAGGAG